GTGACAGGTCTAGATTATTACTTCAAAGGGAAGCATATTGGATCTTTAAACTGGATACAGTCACGCCTAAAGGCTTAAATGAATACAACACCTATTCTATGTTTTTGTGACGTATGGAATATATTTCATGGTTGGCACTAGTCACTGCAAAGTATAGTATCATGTTATAGTTTATATATAAGGAATACACAATCTATTATTAACCCAATATAAGTTTTGGTTAACAGGATTGATTATTATGCCTTTTTAGCCATATGTACAAGGGACACATTGTCCTGAATATAGCAGTGAATTATTTGATTACTAATTGGCTTGCTTGTGCATTAGATATAAATTTTGGTTTATGAATAATTCTAATTAAACCCACTATAGAAAGGTTTTTTTTTATATCTGCATCATTTATAACCTTGTTTGGTTGGTTTGTTGGTTTTGTTTATGTTTTTGTTCTTTACTATCTGCAGATTGTCTTATCAGGATGTACATTGTCCACATAAACTATCGATTTATTCGTTTGTTTTTTCTGTGTGACAGGCAAAGATGTGCATGCACACACAGTATTATGAATATTAATTTGTATTGGAAAATTATGCAGCACACTTTTTGGAGGAGCACATATGTTGGTCACATTTGCATGTATGTGTGGTCACTTTAAATGTTTCACGTAGTTTACACTGTTTTCTCACATTCCCATACATTGTGGTCCTCTATTATGTGGGTGCAACATTAGGAGACTTATATTCTGCCCTCCATAGTATGTATACCGTATTGATCACTATATATAGTGATCATTTTACATTAGAGTCATTCTTTTGCGGCCTGGTAGAGCCGGGCAACACTCATACACGATTTGTTTATTTTTGTTGCCTAGCAACGTCGTAATTTTACGCGTCATCACGTTGGTCACGTGGCTACACTGTCTCACTTCCGGGTTTCGGACGGTTAGTGATTTCCCTACACACATCTTTTGGTAAGTGTTTATTAACATATATCTATATATATTCACTTGATATATGATATAATTGATCTTGAAAAAGGCCCTATAGGGGTCGAAACGTAAATCACAAAAAAAAATTTTTGGCACATGTAATTTGCAATTGAAATAAATTAAGACCTGAGAGTGCACCTTATTTGTATTTTTTATTATTTACATCAATGCTGAGGTTTGCACCCAGGCAACAGCTCAATAGATTTGCATCAAAGGGTGAGTGCCAAGTTCATCTCTTTTTTTTAATATATATATATATATATATATATATACACATATCTACTGATATTGGCACCCTTGGTAAATATGAGCAAAGAAGGCTGTGAACAATTGTCTTCATTGTTTAACCTTTTGATTTTTTGTTTAAAAAATAAACAAAAGTACTTGGCTTTCATGGATATGTTTGTGAAGTGTACGTTTGGCAAAATTGTTGGAGCCCCTGTGAGAAAAATATATTTGAAGTATATTCCCATTGATATTTAAATTTTTTAGTAAAATATCTGAGTGACTAGGAAAAGGAAATTTTTCATCTTCCTGACTTACATGGGTATAAATATGAGAAAACACACTTTGTAAAACCAAGGAATATAGCGGTGATGTGGGGCAAAAGATTGTTGAGCATCACAAAATGGGAAGTGGCTATAAGAAAATCACAAAGCATTGAAAATCCCCATTTCCATCATCAGGACAATATTTAAGATGTTCCAGTCAACTGGAAATGTTATGGATCAAGAAGAGGACGTGTGTCTATATTGTCTGAACGCCCTGTGAAGAGGATGGTTTGGGTGGCTAAAATTTCTCCATTGATCACAGCTGAATAATTACAGAAGTTAGTTTCATGTCTGGGTCAGAAAGTCTCCAAAAACTACAATCCAATGTCACCTACATCACTACAAGTTGTTTGGAAGGGTTTCAAGAAAAAAGCCTCTACTCAGGGGCGTACCTAAAGCATTTGGCACCTGGGGCGGGTCCTATTTTTGGCACCCCCCTCCACCACCCAACTTTAAAATGTAAAAAACAACCACAATTCTTTTTTTTTTTTTACATTTATTTAGCACTAAGCAGTGTTTATGCTTTTAAATGTAAGCATGTTTTTGTATGGAGTATGTTTGAGTGAACGTAGGATGTGTGTATGTATGTGGTGTTGGTGTTTGAATGCAGGCATGCATTTTTGTGTAGTGTGGTTTTTGAAGGCAGTGGTGTGGTTATATATAATGGTGGAGTTTGTATGTAGTGTTGATGTTGAAATGCAGGGGTGTATTTGTGTGTAGTGTTGGCGAGATTCTGAGATGTATGCACATATACACATACACACACCTAAATACACACTGACACACATGCAGATACATAGACACATAGGAACAATATATAGGGGGTGGGCACATAAGATACCACAAGCCAAACTGGGGGGAGGGGGGCACTAAAACTTTTCACTAGGGGATGGGTTAATGTGCTGCCATTGGCTGCCTGATGCCAGCATGCAGTGCACATTGGCATCAGTCAACAAATTTGCATATAATTCACATTAGCCACCCAGATTTCTTGTTTGTGGGCTAGCTGACACCTCTTAACGTCGATCTTTGTTTATCAGATAACTCCCTTATTTGCTATCCTTATGTGTGATTGCCATATTTAAGGACACCAAATAAGGATAAGGGAGCTATCTGCTAAACAGCACCCTAATTTGGTATCTTTAAATATGGAAATCTCACATAAGGACACCAATTTAGAGAATTATCAACTAAACAGCTAAAATATCAATTTAAAAAAACAAAAAACATTTCTTAATTTCAGTTGTTTAGTAGATAACGCCCTTATTTGTTATCCTTATGTGGGATTGCAATATTTAAGGACACCAAATAAGGGAACTATGTACCAAACACATACACATTTATATACACACACAATAACACAATAGGTGTATGTCTGTATGTGTATATCTGTGATTGTGTGTGTGTATGTATGTGATGTTTGTGTGTGTATATCTAATTATGTGTGTTTGTAATTGTATGTGTGTGGGTCTGTGATTGTGTATGTCTGTGTTTATGTGTGTGGTTGTGTGTGTATCTCTGTTGTTAAGTGTGTGTGTGTGTATATATATATATATATATATATATATACACACACACATACACACACACACACTTAACTACAGAGATACACACACACACTTAACGACAGAGATACACACACAACCACACACATAAACACAGACATACACAATCACAGACCCACACACATACAATTACAAACACAATTAGATATACACACGCAAACATCACATACATGCACACATTTAATAATTAAGAGGTCCACCCAGCCTCCCTACCTTGCTCTGGGAGGGCTAGAGTGGATCCTCAGTCCCTGGTAGTCAGTGGTTGCTGTTGGGATCTCTGTGCTCTTCATGCACACGTCCCTTGCACATCCTGTAATATGACGCCGATGCTTGGATGATGTTATGTGCCGACTCACTGCAGGGCGAAGACAGTCAGATACAGTCAGATGTACACAGTTATACGCATATACTGTCAAATACAGCCACATGCACACCGTACCAAACACATATTCACTTGCACACTGTCAAAAGCACAGCTGCAGACAGTCACACACACACACACAGCTACAGGCAGATAGTCACACACACACACACAATTACAGGCAGACTGTAACATAGTTACAGGCAGCACACAGTCACACACACTCAGTGACATGCAGACAGTCACACACAGTCACAGGCAGACAGTCATACACAGTCCCAGGTAGACAATTACAGGCAGACATTCATACATACAGGCACAGGCAGACAGTCACACACACAGTCACCAAAAGTCAGTCTCACGCACAGTCACAGGAAGACAGTCACACTCAGTCCCAGGTAAACTGTCACAGGAAGACATTCACAGGCATAGACAGTCACAGATGCAGTCCCAGGTAGACAGTCACAGGCAGACATTCACACACAGTCACAGACATTTCCAGGGAGATAGTCATAGACGCAGTCACAGGCAGACAAACACACAGTCACAGGCAGAGAGTCACAGGCAGACAGTCACAGACACAGTCACAGGTAGACAGTCACAGGCAGACATTTACACACACAGGCACAGGCAGACAGTCACAGACGCAGTCACAGGTAGACAGCCACAGGCAGACATTCACACACAGTCACAGATAGTCACAGGCAGACATTCACACACACACAATCACAGATAGTCACAGGCAGACATTCACACACACACAATCACAGATAGTCACAGGCAGACATTCACACACACAGTCACAGATAGTCACAGGCAGACATTCGCACACACACAGGCAGACAGTCACAAGCAGTCTCACACACACACACACACACACACTCTCTCTCTCTTACTGGTGGAGGAGTGGAGTCAGTGAGTCCCTGGTGTGTTGGAGTTGGGGAAGCAGTGACTCCTTCCTGCTTCCCCTCAGTGTGCTGCAGTGAAAGGCAGCAAATGGAGGCTGGCTGTAGCTCCGCCCCTGCATCCGGATTGGCTCCGCCTCCATGGCAGAGTTGACTCCGCCCCCAATTCTCCGTGCAGTACTTCTGTACTGCTGAATTCCCAGCCCCTGCGTGTGTGAGAGCTGTGTGGCTCCCAGCACCCTGTGCAGCCAAAAAATGTTTGTGAAATATGTGTTTTTTGTGCCTGGAGATAATTGAGTTTTGTACAGTTCCTGACTCAATTATCTCCCAGGCATGAGGGAGGGATTATCCTATTTTGTGTGGAAGTGTCATGGGCGTGCTTGTCTGTGTTCAGAAATGTATAAAAGCAAGCCATCTGGCCAGATTAAAGGTATTCCAGCTTGTACTCCCAGAACTATGTGTCATCTGGTTACTGGGAGGGGAAAGGGCTAATCACTGATCACTGCTCCAGTGTGGAGGATTCAACGGGGAAAGTCCTTGTAAGGACTAGAGCTACCAGGACTGAGTGTTGTCCAGTGCCTGGGGGTTGCTAGAGCAAGTTCCCCATTCGGCTTCAGGAGGGAGCGGTTCTAGGACCCCAGTCAAGCCACGGCGACTGTGGGCAGAAGTGCTGCTGTTTGTCTCCTGTTCCAGCTATCATGCGGTCCTTAGTGGAGGTACCCAGCCAGGGGTACAGGGAGATCCGTTACATAAGCATTGGGTTAGGGCTGGTGTAGAGTTAGCGTTAACTACAAAAAATGAATATAGATCCTTGACATATAAGGACTGATTTGTGAATTTATTTTGAGTTTGTTTTCTTTAGTTGCACTTGAAGTGTAAAAATCTATATGTAAAACTGTGAAAACCATTTTCCTGTTTTTAACATTTCTTTGTACTTAATGTGGTGTTAGGTTTGCATATAGAATATTAAATGAGGGCTATTTCTGTCCTTTCAAAAATAAAAATATAATATGTATGGTTGCACTTAAATAGAAACCCTTAAATTATGGTGGAACAAACACATAGCACAAATTATAGGTTTTGTTTAGATTCTGATGTTGGATAATTGCCTCCATTCTTAAGGGGTTTCAGTTTAATGACTTTGAAGACTGACAGTAATTGCATGGATTGTAATTTACCTGTTTGTTTGTAAAACATATGTTAATGAAACATAAGATAAGGTCTTAAATTCATTTAGAGTTGTGTGTACTCTGAAGTCTCTCTAAAGTATTTCTTCTATGGCTAGATCTCCTACTTTAAAAAAGAAATAATTTAACAAATATGTGTAGGCAGACCGTGTTAAACTGTTTAAAAATTGGTTAATGGAAGGGCAGCGACAGAGGACTAAAGGCACTATAACCAATTTAATCAGATTAAATGATTATAGTGCCTACATTGTCCCTTTAGTTACTCGTTATCAATGCAGCTGTGATGAGGGTTCTGTCTTGGTTCTGGAAGACCCTCGGTTTATATCAAACCATTCTTGAATAGCTTGCTATTAAATAGAGGTATGGCACCTGGGGATCCTTAGCTACTAATTGCAACAGTGAGATGTAGTGTTTATATTATGTAGAGAAGGGGTACTCTATAGGTAGATTCCCAGATGTTTTAGAACTACAACTCCCATGATGGTTTGCATGCCTTTTGAATGCTTTAGAATGACAAACCATCATCAAATCTGCTGGTCAAAGTAGTTCTACAACATCTGGGGATCTACCTTTTGGGCACCAATGATGTAGAGTGTCCCTTTAAAGTAAATATGTCATTACAGCTTACGTAAAAAAACAATGTGAATTAGGATATGTCTGTAAGATGCTTTATTATTATGAAATGAAAATTATTGTGTATTATCTGCTCATCCCCATGTACTTAACCAATACCTGTCCTCTATCCTTCAATAGGAAATTCTGGCTACCCCTTAAAGTCATGGATGCTTGTGTCCTTCGGAAATTCTGTGAACACTGGACACAAATGCTACAACCAGCTATATAAAAGCAGGTTTTGTTGTCTTGATGGAACTATAAATGCTTCTGCAAAATATGGCCAGGAATAAGAAGCTTCTACCAGATAATGAGGAAGTTCTGAATGAGAAGTCAAGAACTATCTGAATGTGGGGATTGTCAGACATGTCTTACCTAGGAACCCAGAGTGTGTGTTTCATGGTGCAACATTATTTTATATAAGGGAGAAAAACACACCTCAAAGACATTTGGTTTCTTCATTTTTGTTCCTTGTTTGCAGGTCTCTAACTGCACCCACCGTGAATCCTGCTCTTTTTTTCTAATTATTTAAAATGTATATTAAAATCATGGCTTTTCAACTACTCTCATGAGTGTGTGTATGTGGATTGTTTGAATTTGAAGAAACAAATAAAATCGCTCCTACACATATCAGAACATGGCAGCTCCCACGTTACGACAAAATCATTCACATACGACATGAATGAACCATAGATAATTATTTTAAATGTAAAAAAATAAATACCATACAACTCAACGAATTTGCTAAGAAATTACACATTTGTTTATTCCTCCATTCCACTTCCAGGGCTCCTATTGTCATGTAGAACTGTACTAAGTTCAGTGGTATCAGAAAATGTTGCACCTAGAGTGAATTGTGAGGTTGGTTAGTGAGGTGGTGGTGGTGTCTTGTTATTGAAATGGCGCTGTAGAGTATCTGCCACTATACACCTGACAGAGACTGCTTGATTCCACATTTTACCTTCTGTTGCATCAACATTCTATCTTCTATAATTCTGTGAAGCACAGATGTCATGAGCAGGTATAGCCCCCCATGGCTGGGGAGTTATGCATCGTGCCATTTCAGCTGTTGCTTGTGTCTGTATGGGAATGCAGGCTCAGCTTTATTAAAGAGATTGATGTCTACCAGTGGAAAAGGATCATCATGTGGCGGTTGTTGAATTAGCTCCAGCTTAATAGGATCTAATCATGTGTTTTTTTATTCAACATCTTCTTCACCTTATCATGTCGTCTCCAATTTTGTAAAAGTTCTTTGATTACAATCTGATGTTCGCAGGCAGGCTAATATTTTAGTGATGCATTTTGCACGAGTGCTTGAAATCTCTTCATCATTTGATTTAGATTATACTGCAAGTCCCTGAATGCAACACTGATACTACTGGCCTATCCTGTCACCACTTACTAATGATTTTTTTCCATCATAAAAAAATACAACCCAACATTGGCTACATAGCAACATAAGGTAACATCTCCCCACTACAATTTTCATGGTAACCTATACTCGTGCATTTACCAAGCATGAAAGCAAATTGGAAGCTAAATGAGCATCCCCACTACTTAATGGTTATTGGACAGTACCTTTTATAGCAGTTCCCAAATTTATTATCTTTTTTTCATGAAAGTAGCAAAAATTTAAATCAATTGTCACCCTTTGCCTCCCAACCATTTATATTTGCCGCTATCCAATCCACTGTCTCCCTATAGATTACCACGGTCAGTGGTATTCTGAATCCTGAGTAATAGTAAGCTGAGATGGTGCGGGCCACTACCAGTCACACATTTGTGCTCCATGTTGGCCTTCAAATTCTTTTTGGTTCTGAAGACTAGGTTCTCCCTTGGACCTAAATGTTATTCAAGTTCCTTACATGTTGCTCGTTCAGTCACAAAGTTCAGAATGTTCATCCACAGGCAATTCATCTCAATATTTCCACCATCTTGGCCTGTGAAAATGCTGAAGACAAGTCGGTGCAGGTAAAATTAATCAACAGCAATGTATTTTCTGGCACTATACAGAGTATATAGTCACAAATATGCTCATAGTAAATAAGTTATATTTCCCCATGAATTTACAAACAAGACTATTTGCACATTTTGGATGAAATAATCCCCTATTAATATATTCTCGTAATTACCATGTCAACATCTAGATTTCATATTTTCATATTTAGCCACATTCAGTGGCAACTGCATTGTCATCTACCTACTAAACATATTATCCTTAATTATAGTACTTTCGATTCAATAGTCTTCCCTGATTGAAGCTAATTTTGGTAATTCTTTGTACCCCAATTCTTGAATCCTGAGTGTTTAAGAGAATCCTTGCTCCCAGTTTATTTTATTATTTAGGCTATTTTTCTTGGCCAGTTCCAGTTATGAAAGCCTTGGCTGCTCTGAAGGGTAATCTGTAGGCATGAGCATGGGGAAAATTTTCGGTTCGGCATTCCGAAATTCGGGACTTCCGCAGTTCGGGACTTTGGCCCTTCGGGACATTGGGACTTCTGCAATTCGGGACTTCCGCAATTCGACACTTCGGAACTTCCGCAATTCAACACTTCGGCTGCTCACTGTTAAAAAAAAGATAAGGGTCCCCACTCCTGAGCCCCCACCCGCAACAGCCTGCTCACTGTTTAATAGATAATTTACTAATACTAAGTAATCTTTACTTAGTATTAGTAAATGTGGCTGAAAGACCAATTTAGGTCATTCAGCCTTTTAGTAGATAGCTCCCTAATACCGTGGGAATTAGGGAGTTATCTACTTATTCATTCCTGTCATTACATTGATAGGCTAAGTAACTTACATTTTATATGAATGTATGTTACTTGATTGTTGTAAGTGTTGCAAATCCTTACAGCGGAATCCTGGCTATGTTTGTATACTTTTTATTTAAAGGACCACTCTAGGCACCCAGACCACTTCAGCTTAATGAAGTGGTCTGGGTGCCAGGTCCTTCTAGGGTTAACCCATTTTTTTATAAACATGGCAGTTTCAGAGAAACTGCTATGTTTATGAATGGGTTAAGCCTTTCCCCAAAGCCTCTAGCGGCTGTCTCATTGACAGCCACTAGAGGCGCTTGCGTGCTTCTCACTGTGATTTTCACAGTGAGAGCACGCAAGCGTCCATAGGAAAGCATTATGAATGCTTTCCTATGTGACCAGCTGAATGCGCGCGCAGCTCTTGCCGCGCGTGCGCATTCAGCCCAGGAGGAGGAACGGAGGAGGATCGGAAGAGGAGAGCTCCCCGCCCAGCGCTGGAAAAAGGTAAGTTTTACCTCCTTTCCCCCTTCCAGAGCCGGGCAGGAGGGGGACCCTGAGGGTGGGGGCACCCTCAGGGCACTATAGTGCCAGGAAAACGAGTATGTTTTCCTGGCACTATAGTGGTCCTTTAAAATTGTATACAGTGTAACATTCTTCAATCTTACACTGGGTAAGTATATTAGTTCTTAGGCAATACTGTGCTTCGGAACTTCGGCACTTTGACACTTCGGAACGTCGGCACTTCAGCACTTTGGAAATTCAGTAATTTCGGAACTTCGACAATTCGGCAATTCATCTATTCGGACATTCGGAACTTTCTCAAAATTCGTCCAAATTCACATTCGGACCGAAACAAATTGCACATGTCTAGTAATCTGGGTGTATTTAGGTCTTCACCTTCCTTGAAGACTGAGTGGGCTATATCTCTATCCTAGTTCACCATTATCCTATACTTGGGACGTATGGCTCAAAAAAGCTGATATTTGGCACCCAGAGTTAACCATTACATTATGGCAATATCTTTATCAGATGATATGGTACAAAAACAAAGTCATGGTGAAAATATCTTACCTCTATAGAGGACAGCCTTTCCACGATGGCAGTCAAAATCCTGCTTTCTCATTGGCTTATGTTAAACTTTTTATTTATTATTATTTTTAACTCTTATTTCAAATATGCCAAAACATTCCCTTATGTCCTTGGAACGTCAATATGTTTATTGAATAGTGCATGTGTCAAAAGGTATATTCATATTGAATGGCATTGTGAGAAATACACCACGTATTCAAGTAAAAGTGTGGTCACAGAACAGACAATATAAAAAACTTTTATTATGGTATTTGATTAAAACTATAATTATAATATGATTGATTTGTGATGTAAAATATAATTCAAGGTGCATTGTAAAGACATCCTTTTTTTTCATTATAAAATGAAAACATGACAGAATAAAAAGTAGTAAAAAGCTGGGCTTGACTTATCACTTTTCAAAATAAGGTTACTATAGAATTGTAGACTATTAAATGATCACATTTTTACAACACACACTATTAAATGTTGAAAATATTATCCCAATTTATAATAGTTTTGTGAGGACAATAGTAGGCATTCAACAAAACGTATAAACAATTTACAAATGAAATGTAAAATATTATGTTGATACCTTTGTATTGTGTAATGATGTTCTGTGTTTTAGGGGAAAAACAAACCTGTGGGTTTAAAGATCACTTACGCATACCACGACAGCACAGAGATTTTCTTTGTATGGAGTAGAATAAAAACTGACTTTTAAAATTATTTTTAGATTTAAAAAAAAATGTTTTTATTATTTTCAACTAGTTGCTTTTTCTAAATTTGAAATGGCTGGTAAGAATAGCCCATTCCCTATTTATATTACTTAAAAATATCTTAGATTCCATATCACACACAATCTAAACAATGTAGCCTTAAGCAAATGTATAGAGAAGCTTAAAAAGTTTGGTGTTACTATAGTCATAAGAGTATGTGACTCCACCTATGACATTCCTAAGAGACCCAATTGTTTCCCCCAATTCCACTGTGATTAATGACAAACCAGCATGGTTTATCAATGTAGTGAGCACTGTCTCAACTCATCCGGTGGTCACTTGCAAACACCTCCAGGGACATCTCCTGGTCAACCACAGATACTGCAGCCTACTTGTGAACCACCACCCTATGCACAAATCTACACAGTACTGGGCTAGCAAAGGACCTTGCACAAATCCTGCCTGCAGCTTTATACCTGCAGTACTCTGCCAATAGCATCCAAAAGCACCTTCTGCTATTTTAATTAACAGAAGAATGGTGTGAGTCTAAATCCCACAAATCCTGAAAGTTAGTGTTCCTGTGGGGCAATTGCCTATCTTACCCCCTTGCCAGCCCTCACATTCCCCATGTGTAAAGTACCAAACATGCTCTGTGTTGCTCTGATCACTCTCAAGGACTGAATATCCACTGGCTTTTGGCGAGGAGGTAAATGGAAATTTCAAACCCTAAGCTACAACACCACTGTAGTAGAAAATGAAAACATTCAGGCTTTGGATTGATGATGGTTCCCCGCCATATAGTGGGATTGTAGATAATTGGATAAATCTTCTTTAGGCAGAATTCCATGGAAAAGCTGACTGTCGTATTGCTGTGCATCGTGTTACTGACTTTGGTAACAGTCCTGTACTCATTGCACATGTTCTCATTGAATATGTCATGAGATAACAAGATACAGTATAGTTCGTAAGGCAGTGCTGTGGGGTCTTTTATATCAAATGACTGCTGTATTAGTAAAGTGTCATCCTACGTTGTGTTTACACTTTAAAGTGAAGCTGGTCACTTGCCTGGAAGTGGCAGGTCTATATTCTGTAAAGGCAGTGGAGGTAAGTAAAATGCACCTGCCTTTGTTGCACTTACACGTTGTGGGTAACTTCATGAGTGCTCAAGCATTTCTTCACCAGTGCAATAGACAGGTATGAGCCATGCATGCACTGCAGGGGTTAAACTAATTTACATGATATGCCAGCTGTGTGGTCAGGGCATGTAAATGGAAAAAAATGGAAACTAGAGAATAAAAAAAAAACACAACTAACAGCTATCCAGTTGAGAAAATATCTTACATGTCCCAGCTCCTCTATAAAGGGATACTATGGTCACCAGAATGATTACAGCTTAAAGTGATACATAGTGCCAGGAATACAAAGTTGTATGTAAAGCTCTCTCTGCCAATCCCCTTCCCTCGCAGTGAATAAAGGGTTAAAATTCTTACTTACCTGATCCCAGTGCTGATGTTCCTCGCAGCTTGGTTGCGTCTCAGCCTACTCTAAATTCACTCGACGAGTGGATGCTAATGCATTAGGTATTCCCATAGGAAAGCATTGATTCAATGCTTTCCAATGGGGAAACTGCAGAGCATGAGGACGTCCAGCGTGAGTTAGCGGACCAAAAGTTCAGTAACATTCCAGAAATCGCCTCTCGTGGCTGTCTGGTAGTTCTCTAAAACTACAATGTTTTACATTGCAGCACTAAGTGCAATAGGGACACTTTATCCAGATCACTTCAATGGCAGTCACTCGAATGGTCACTGTAACAACTGCTGCATTCAATGCAACAGTTACAAATGTAAGGCCTACACTGGATTAAATGCTAAGTGATTCTGTATGTCATGTGCAGCAATAAAGAATTAAAAAAAAAAAAATAGTATGAGCAATTGGTATTGTCAATATGATGCACGATATTTTGAATATTGTGAGACATCACGTATTTTACCTAGGGTAGCACATGCAATTGTGTTTCAGCTTGCAATTCTGAGGCATACTGCATGCAGAGCTACAGCTTCAGGCTTGAATACAAACAGATTCTTGTTCCTGGGGGACCATTCCAATTACAGTACAGAGTATTTTACATGCTACTACAGTAGAGAGCCGACTTATATGGCTCTCTAAAGTGTGAGTGCTCCTAATCATTTTTTATACCAGTTATTGGTTTATGCATATTGCAATTATGATAGCTGTCTATGTTACAGATTATTTTATCAAGCATCCATTGTGTGCGCAAAACCACCTTTTCCTGTATCCATCACATTAAATAATATTCATGTAAATGAGCTTTAATGTTTATTCTATTCTATAACCCTATCTCATAACGTAAACTAATCATGCAATACCGAAATTTAGCTGTAATTGCTCATCTGTGTCTGTCATCATTTCATAAATGATGACTATTTATCCGTGTTTCTGGTACCCATTAGAATTACTCCATACTAGTAGTGTACTGAGGGTAGAGAGGAGGGTGGGCAGGTGTGGGTGACAGCCAGAACTTGGATGCACAAAGTCTGCCACTCCCAGCTATTCACTACTGTGGTCAGGGGCGGGCTGGGCCGGGGGGCAGGGAGGCAATTGCCCCCCAGGCCGCCCTAAATTCCTGTAAGGCCGGCCGCGGCGGGCCGGCCCTTTAAATACTGCAGCCGCCTGAGCGCTCTGTTAAGAGCCTCAGGCGGCTGCAGCTTCTCTCCCTCCCTCCCCTGTAGCGTGGCCGAGCTGCACTCCGGTCCGCGGTGGCCGGCCGGAGTGATAGGAAGGTGCACACTGAGTGTGCACTTCCTGTCAGTCCGGCCGGTTACAGGAAACAGAAACTCCTGTTCAGCGGAGTTTCTGTTTCCTTCCACCAACCAGACGGCAGGAAGTGCACACTAGTGTCTTTACTGCTATCCTCCGGCAAACATTTCCAGCGAACAATTCAGCTCTATGAAAATAGAAAGAGAGGGAGGGAGGGAGGGGGGTAAGAAGGGGAGGGAGGGAATAAGAAGGGGGCAGAGGGGGATAAGAAGAGGGAGGATAAAGAGGGGAGGAATAAGAAGAGGGAGGGATAAAAGGGGGGAATAAGAGGGGAGGAATAAGAAGGGAGGGAATAAGAAGAGGGAGGAATAGAGAGGGAGGTAAGAAAGAGGGGAGAGTAAGAAGGAGGGGAATAAGAAAAAGAGGGGGTAAGAAGAAAGAGAATTGATAAGAAAAAAGAGGGGTAAGAAGAAGAGGGTAGTAAAGAAAAAGATGGGGAGTAAGAAAGAAGAGGAGTAGAAGAAGAGGAGGGAGTAAGAAGAAAAAGAGGGGAGTAAGAAGAAGAAAGAGGAGGGAGTAAGAAAAAGAGGGGGAGTAAGAAGAGGAGAGGGAATAAGAAAAAGGGAGAGCGGAGTAAGAGGAGAGGAATAAGAAAAAGAGAGGGAGGGCAGGAGTAAGAAGGAGGAGATAAGAGAAAAGAGGGGGTAAGAAGAAGAAGAAGGTGAGTAAGAAAAAGAGTGGGGATAAGAAGAAAGAGAGTGGGAGTAGAAGAGGGGGGTAGAAGGGTGAGTATGAAGAAATGGGGGGAGTAAGAAGAAGAAGGGGGAGAAGAGAAGGGAAGAAGAAGAAGAAGGGGGAGCAATAAGAAGAAGGGGGGGTAAGAAGAACAGGTGGGGGAGTAAGACGACCAAGGGGGGAAGTAAGAAGAACACAGGGAGGAGGGGGGTAAGACGAACACAGGGGGTGTGAGGAGAACACATAGAGGGAGGAGTGAGAAGAACACAGGGAGGGTGGAGATGAGAAGAGCACAGGGAGGGTGGGTGAGTGTGAGAAGAGACCGCTAGGGGAGGGTGGGGAGAGGAGAGACCACTAAGGTGCAGGGGAGAGCTCTACGGGACAGAAGGGGCAGCTCTATAGGACAGGGGCCAAGACAGGGAGCTCTTTCACACTACGCGCGCGCGCGCACACACACACAATGCATCCCTATACATACACAGAAACACAACATGCTTCCCTTACACACAGAGAAACACACAATGCATCCATTACACACACACACACAATGCAACCCTTACACACAAAGACAATGCATCCTTTGCACACATACACAGAAACAGACAATGCAAACCCGTACACACGCATGCAAACACACACACTTCTTTTCTTACATACACACAGAAACACAATGCATCTCAATGCACACACATACAGACACACACCTTGCATCCCTTATGCATACAAACACAGATTCACACAATGCATCCCTTACACACAACCAGAAACACATAATACATCCCTTATACACAAATACACACTGCTTCCACTACACACAAACACACTACATCACCTGCACAAACTGGTAACCCTATACACTACATACCATAAGCACACATATTAGATCCTCTACAATAACACATAACACATCCCCTACACACTCCACTCCCTGTGAGCGAACTCATGGGTGGGTGGAACTTATGAGTGGGCCTTATGGGCATACTCACCGTCAGGCCCTGGGGCCCAGACCTTGAGCTGTGTAAGGGGTCCCAAAAAATGGAGCTGCTTCCAATTCTCCCAGAACATTGAATTTTGTGACCACAGCTGCAAACAGCCTCCAGAGATCCTGTTCTACACCAGACCAGTGGAGCCAAACTGCAGCCCATCATCATCCTCATCTGCTTGTAAGTAGGCAATCTAGTATATTATTAGTGACACTAATCTATAATGTACCTCACATTAAAGGGACACTATAGCTTAATGAAGTGGTTCTGGTGTCTATAGCTGGTCCCTGCAGGCTTTTTAATGTAAACACACACTGTGTGCAGCACTGGCGTTAGTTCATATGGGTGGGGCATTGTGATGTCACATGGGGGGGCAGCAAATTTTTATTTTGTCTAGGGCGGCAAAAATCCTTGCACCGGCACTGATCCTGGGCAGGTGCACCAGTCTACTGGTGACCCACAGGAGGGGAGTGCACTGATTGCACTGCACTCTCCTCCTGTCCAGCCCCATCTTTACCGCAGTGCAAGTGCCCTCTGCCCCTAATTTACAGTGGCTCACACTCACAACAAGCAGTGCCTGGAGCCGTGAAGGAGCGGGTATGGCAAAGAGCTACTGATTAGCATAACATCAATATCCGTTATAAAACCAGGAAAAGGTGGGCATGGATGGTGAACTGATTTGGTGGTGCAATGGGCCACTTGACTGGTTTTGCCCCCCAGGCCTAAGGCTGCCAGCCCTCCCCTGACTATACCCAGTCCAGATAACATGCATACACTAACACAATCTAGAAATAAGGGACACTGTGTCAAGTTCGTTTACAAGTTAGCATTTTGTGGGGGTAGGGGTGTTGTCAAATTAGTTTATGAACATTTTAGGACAAAGGACAATAATCTATATAGAAGTACATGTTCATAAACTATCATTTCTTTAAAAGAACTTTATAATTCTTTATTTTTCAGTGCAAGTTTAATGATACATACATTGTATGGATATGCCACAACAGCAATTGCATGAGGTATAGCAGTAGTCTAAGCATCCTGCAGTTGGAGCTAAGATGGTCTGTGCACTTTTGTATTACGTAGGACTGGGTAGTCGTAACGAGTTGGTCGCCCATGCCAGTGGGGATTGTGATTGTGTTGGCTAGTGTTATTGGTAGATTTCACCAATGTTGGTATGGCACTGGTACAGGAATTGCGCTGGTAAGCCTCCTGTTCCTTTGTGGCCATGTGGTGTGTATAGAGTTGGATATTAGAATAAGGACTTGGGGTTTGAGTGTCGTCTATGTGTGGTTGATTCGGATTTCAGAGTATGGGTATCCGTGCCGTCGTGGGGCTAAGCTCGTTGAGACTGTTGAGGGAGACTATGTGTTTTGAGTAGGTTAGCTCACTCTAGTGAGTATGTGCTCCATCGATTGCTATGCCCCTTGACCCCGAGGCATTAGGTGGGGGGTCAGTGTGTTGCTTTACCGCCTTAAGGCTACAGGGTTATGGAACCCTTTCCAGTGGAGGAGATGAGTTCCTAGTGAAAGGTAGGTTATTCATAACTTGGTATAGTGAGTGAAACATGAATCTTTAGCAGTAAGAGAAAAAGAAATAAAAAAAAACACTTTTAGGTAACAATAACAGAAGAAGGTTTGTTGTGTGTTCAGTCCAGGTTTTATGTCACGGGTCCAGGGTGCAAAGTGTTCACTCCTATGGCGTTGTTGGAGAGCCCCAGTGTGGTCAGCAAGGCCAGTCCTTCTTCCGCGTTGGTGATCTTGTAGTGTTGGTCGCCTTTCGTCACCCACAGCGTTCTGGGGGTTGCCCATCTGTAGACGAGGCCCGCTGCCTGCAGGGTAGTGGTCACAGGCTGCATGCTCTTGCGCCATGTTAATGTGTCCCTGCACAGGTCCTGGAAGAAGGTGATTTGCTGTGTTTCGAAGCTGTAGGGCGCCTTCCCTTTTATGGAGGTTATTAGAGCTATTTTGTCCGTCAGGGTTTGGCATCGTAAGATTACGTCGCGTGGGGCTGTCTTGGGTGCCCGTTGCGGTTTGGCTATGCGGTATACTCCATCAAATAGAAAATGTTTTGCTTGCCTGTTGGGAATGAGTGAGGCCACCAGGCGCCTGATAAAGTGGGGTAGTTCCTCCAGTGGCACCGATTCCGATATCCCCTTGATTTTTATATTTTTCCTCCTACCTCGGTCGTCTAGGATGTTTACTTGCCTGGAGATGTTAGACTGTGCTGTTTGTAGCTGGGCGACTGTGTCTGTTAGGGAGTTTAGGTCTTGGCGCAGGTCTTTCACTTCTTGTTCTGTGGCCTGGGTTCGGGCCGACACCTCCTGCATCTCTGCTGCTAACCCCTTTAGGTCTGCTTGCCACATTAGTTGTAGGTTACCTTGGAGTCCCTCCAGCATGGCCTGGATGCCCTGTTTTGTTGCTGGGTCTAGTCCATCGGTAGCTTGTATTTTTGTATTGCCTGTGTTGGCCGCCGCTGTGCTGTGTTCTGAGTCTCCATTTTCAGACCTTTCAGGTGAGGCTGCCGTGTTAGCCCGGGTCTGTGCGGGTGGAGGGTTCTGCAGCATGCTGCTTATGTCCCGGTGTGGTGTGGAAGCGCTTGTGGCTGGTTTGTGGGACCTCCGTCCCATTTCTTCCGATGTGTGGAAGTCTGCCTCTGTGAGCTGCGAGCTCCGGTCAAGCCACGCTGTCAGCACCCTGGTGAGGTACTGGTCGCGTGTGCGGTAGGCCCCCGGTCCCTTGATGCGGCTTTTCGTGCCCGACTTTTGAAAGAAAGGCATCTGCGGGTTCAGCAAGGTGTCAGGAGGTTGTGCTTGTCGCCTGTTGTAGTCGATGATCTGCGGGTGTGCCGTTATTTCAAGTTTTTTGCGCTGGCTGTGCGGAGCTCTTGCAAATGGCGACTGCTTCGTTGTGTCGTTGGCTCCGCCCCCCCCCACACACACATTTGTTAACTTTAAGTCTAATGGAGAGGGGTTATCAAGTTTAGATTCAAAACATTGTTCTCCTAATAAATCCTGTAGAGCAGACCCCACCGTGAGGTTTCTCTGGTATGTGCTTAATCCCTCTAAAATGACAAGAGGGCAATTGACATCCTCTAAAAAATACTCCTTGTATGGAGGACTCTGTTCTCAGGTATTCTATATCAAATTGTTCATTGTCTTTGATTATGGTTGTTAATCTTTAACTATAGTTTGCCAAGGATTCTGTTAGTGCTGTGGCAGATGAGCTGAGGCTCTGAATAATAGTGATCTTTTTTAGATGTTTGTTGCTTTTATTCTGACTTTATGGTGCACTTTTTTTTTATTTTTTTAAGGTTTCCCTCTTTCTAAGAAATATTGTGCCGTCTTCGCTAGCTGTGCATCACATCTGTCAGGTTCAAAATTGAGGTTTTCATAAGTAGATAAAAAATGCTTCAGTGGTTTAGGACGAGAACTGCTTGCGTTGAGCTAACTGTTACAATCTGGTTTCTTGCTGAATAAAACATCCAAACCATTTTGCAGAAGAAAAATTGAATAGATCTACAACCTCTTTTTTTTTTTTTTAGCTTCATACTAAACTAAACAGCCATTTTACAGTGCTGCCACACACCCTCACTTGTATCTTATTAAGTATTAATAAGTGAGTGGGGTTTCCTAAGAATACCCCTTTCTGTCACATTGGACATTTTGCCTTTAGGATGAAAGTAGCAAGGTGAATTGTTAGTGTAGGACTCAAGGGGTTTCCTTTGATGGGGGAAGTGAGTTTGCATGGAAATACGCTAAAAACCTTCTTTTATTTAAATATGCATAGGGATTTGCGATAGTGTGCAGGTAACTTTATTTTTAGGGGGGGGAGAAGGGGAGGGGGTGGCTTTGGTTCTATGAATTTGGCCAGGTGGATTATATTCACAGTAAACTTGCCTTTACTTCCAATTCGTTTAAGGGATTCCACCATTATTTGTAGGATTGATTATCAGTCAATACCATAAACATGTTCATAAACAGTATGTAAGAAAGTAAGTTTGCAGATTTATCCTGTAGTATGTTAAAGAGTTACTCCAACCACCATGACCACTTCAGTGATTTGAAATAGTCATGGTGGAGTCTGGATGCGTAGCTTTTCTGCTTGAAACGATGCATATTCAGAGATATTTGCACTTGTGTGCCGGGGGCTAGCAACACCCCAGGCACACGTGACTTTGGCAACCCATAATTAATTTCCCTACTGGCAAATGTCACATTTATTTCTGCCGTCAGTGCGCACTGCACGCTGGTAACAGAAGAACAGTCTGCTCCCTTACAGGTATCGCGTTGGCTCTCCCATCCCTCCACTACTGAAATTAAGTTTGTTGTTTTAATTGATAATCCCTCCCCTTTGCCAGCTCAGATAATGGGCATGCACTCTGAGCCGGCAAAACGGTTAAATGACAAGCTTCTCTGTCAGAAGCAAGGCCTTTCCTGATGTCAGATGGTGGTGGGAGATCGGTGAGAGTAACTTCATCGAGCACTGGATTAAAGATCAAAATCTTGACATTTTTTACATTGGGATGGGAGGGGGGCTATTAGCAAAAAAGCAAACTGGCACAAATGATTGGAATAACCCTTTAAACTTCTTAGAATCATAAATAAAAGCTTTTCAGTTCTCTTATAGACATTCCAGTTTGAGATACATTTATTATTTATGTAAATGAAAATCTCATGTATTTTTTTTATTTTCAAATTATTTTATTAACAAATTTTTCACACAAAAACATCCAAACCATAACAAATCTATTTTTAAAACAACATTATAACAATTCAAACAATAATAAGGGGGTGGGTTTTCCATCTTTATATATAAAAAATGAAATGTCAAATGTTTACATAAGTAAAATAAAATACAGAGCATAGCAATTTAAAATGCCCTATTTTTATTTGTAACGAAAATCCAACAGACGATAGCAGGCATTTTTAATAAACAAAATATGTGTTGTTTTTTTTTGTTTGTTTACAGGAAGAAACGAGAATATCACAGAAGGATGTGCATTAGTAGTGCAGTAAATGGAGTCTCCAAACGTTATTAAACCTATCAGCATTATGAATTCTCAATGTGGAAAGGTCACTGCATATCCTGATTGTCCCACAACTTTAACCGTGTTCAAAATTCTGTTACTCACCTCTTTCTCCTGTTGCAATTGAAATCAACGTAGAAGATTATTTTATTTACTGTTAACAAGGGTTAAAATTTAAAGTCCTGTGTTAGTAGTCGGGCCTTAAAAGTTACTTGTCACTGAAAGCCTTGAGAGTTCATGGCACAAGCACCAGGGGTGACTTTCTACTCACCAGAGCCACTGGTGGATCCAAGGGAGAGGGAGGGTCAACAAGGCAATTGCCCCCCCCCCCCCAAGAAACAACAGTGCCTTGCTCTCCCCTGCCAGCCTTGCTGGGTGCCTTCACGGACCTGTGGGGAGATCAGCGCTTTGCTGGCAGCGGAGATAAAGAGAACCCGGGAGCTCAGCCTGCAGCTCCTCCAGGTCCTCCTCTTGCGAGCACGGAACATTGCCACTGTTACCATGGCAACACTCTGGTTCTTGCGAGAGTGAACTCTAGCCTCAGGAGCTGCAGGCTAGAGTTCACTCTCACCACTAGGACCACCAGGGATTCTCCACCGTACCACCATGGAGTGCAGGAAATATCCCCCTCCCTCAGCAAAGGTAAAAAAGGGAGGGGATATAAAGATTTGTCATTTTAATTTAAAAAAAAAAATAAACATATATATTTATTTATCTGCCCCCAATAACTTCCCACACACAAACTGACCTCCGATACACACACACACCCTCCCTAAATACACACACACAGCCCCCCAATACACATACACTGTCCCTAATATACATACACACACTGCCCCCCAATACACACACACTACTCCCCAATATACACACACACACACTGCCTTCCAATACACACACACTGCACCCCTCACACACCAACTGCCCCCAATACACACACACCAACTGCCCCCCCATACACACACACATTGCCCCATACATACACACTGCCACCCATTTACACACACTACACCCCTCCTGCCCCCATACACATACTACACACCTATACACTCAAACACTGCACCCCTCACACACAAACACACTGCATTCCACACACACTGCACCCCTCATACACACACTACTGCCCTATTCCATACTACTGTCCAGAGAGCTGTGCCTGGATTATTTCTTTAAATAATCTACCAGTGCCCCACCCAAGATTAGGTTCTGGATCCGCCCCTGACCAGAGCTGTGTTTTCACTTGCCAATGGTTAGTGGCAAATTGAAACTTTAAGACTGCTGCTGTTCTAGAGAACAATGAGAAAGTAAGATATAATGACCAAACATGATGGGTTTATTTTATACAAAACTGTGGCCAAAAAAAGTAATCTCCTATGACAGTTAAATGGTGCTGTATGTGCATGCTAGCCAGTAAATGAGCACTCCAGCCAAATTGTAAAACTGACTGCCCATTTTCTGTAATTTTGACAGTCATGTGATGTTAAAGGACCACTATAGTGCCAGGAAAACATACTCGTTTTCCTGGCACTATAGTGCCCTGAGGGTGCCCCCACCCGGCTCTGGAAGGGGGAAAGGGGTTAAAACTTACCTTTTTCCAGCGCTGGGCGGGGAGCTCTCTGCCTCTGTTCCTCCTCCTCTCCTCCCCGTTGGCTGAATGCGCACGCGCGGCAAGAGCTGTGCGCGCATTCAGCCGGTCGCATAGGAAAGCATTATCAATGCTTTCTTATGGACGCTGGCGTGCTCTCACTGTGAAAATCACAGTGAGAAGCACGCAAGTGCCTCTAGCGGCTGTCAATGAGACAGCCGCTAGAGGCTTTGGGGGAAGGCTTAACCCATTCATAAACATAGCAGTTTCTCTGAAACTGCTATGTTTATAAAAGAATGGGTTAACCCTAGCTGGACCTGGCACCCAGACCACTTCATTAAGCTGAAGTGGTCTGGGTGCCTAGAGTGGTCCTTTAATTAGTTATTTCTATGGTTTAAAATATTTTTATAATCTTGCAGTTTGACAATAAAATGAAAATGTATTTGTAAGTTTTGCCCACCTTTTGTCTGTATGTAAAAAAAATTATCTTGAACAATGAAACAACTTCAGGTGATGCTTTAACAAAACTGGGAAAAGATTTCAGAGAATGACAATCATAAGTTTAAATTCATAATCACATAGAGATTTTTTATGCATCTCCATTCATTTTGCTCTCTCAGAATACATTTCTCAATTTAAAAAAAAAAAAAAAAAACACCTTTAATAAAATTTGGTTTATTGGTTTCTAGGAAGGCAAACACATAAAAACGAACAGGATGTTGTTGAAAAAAAAAGTTCCTTATAACCAGTGAAGCACTTAAAGGACAACTTCCTTCAACTTTTCCGTCCTTGTTGTCTTTTTTTTTTTTTTTAAAGTTTAATACATTTAATCATACTTAATTATTTTTATTAGGTATTATTTATGAATTTCCATATTGTCACTGTAGCTATTACAGACTATATGTGTGACATTAACTAGATTGAAAGCTGATCTACATAGAATCTAAATTCTCCTGATCGCACTATGGCAATATTTATATAAATGGCTTTGAGGTTGCACACAGAACAGGAAACACAGCCATCACGAACAGTAGATTATGATGCAGTGACAAGAGAGCAATAAATAAAATGACAATTTCAACAAGTAAAGCATGGAAATGATACGTTTTAAAAAAAATTAAATAAAAAAAACACCACGGAATATTTACATTGTGGCTGCTTCAGTTATGTTTTAAAACATAGGCCTGGAGCTTTAGCCCCAACAATCTCTATATTAATCTAGTCCTGGTGTCAAGGTACATAAAAAAAAAAAAATGACATTCTGAAAACACAAACACATACAAGTCATGTATCATACACAGTCATGAAAAGGACAATTTTAATCCACATCATATTTTTTTTTAATATTCTGTTTTTATTGGTATTTTTCATTTGATAGGGGGTACAGAAGAGAAAGGGTAAGGTGTGGCACCAACATAAAGCATCAGACCTTCTGCAATGTCAGTAATAATGTTCTGTGGTTGGGTACAAACTTTAATGATTATGACCGTGTACAGGTTTGGGCCTCTGTTAGGAGGTGCATCTTCGTTGTGGTCAGACCTTGCACATCGTTGTGAGTGTACCTAATAGTGGTTCAAGGTCTTGGTGTCTCTGTTGAGGCGACTGCTTCGCAGAGTTCTGTTCATACCACATCAAAATTTTAATCACATTTAGTAACTAAAAAGTCTGAGTGAATTCAGATGTTTACCTTGAATAGCTTAAAACTTGATACCACTTTAAAGTGACACTATAGTCACCAAATCAACTTATTGAAGCGGTTTTAGTGTAGCTCATGCACCTGCAGTCTCACTGCTCAATTCTCTGCCATTTAGCAGTTAAATCCCTTTTTTTCCTGTCAATGCAGCAATAGCCACACTTAGTGACTCTCAGCCTGCATGAAAAAAAATGGTTTCATTTAAACAACCGTCAACTCACTTTAGAAGTTTTTATCTCATGCTCAGTAAATTTATATTTAAACTCACACACAGGAGGCACAGGAGGCTCCTGCAATGTCTAACAAGCTATTAACAGGGCAGATAAGATATTCTAAATTAAAGATATAGTGCAATAAAGGAAGTGTAAACATCAGATATCACTTTACAAATGTTTAGGAAGACTGTGCAAGTCAAATGCATGGAATTGTGACTAGGGCTGCATAAACAAAATTAATTAACTTCTAAATGGCAGAGAATTGAGCAGTGAGACTGCAGGGGCATGATCTATATACCCAAACTGCTTCATAAATTTAAATTTGTTTTGGTGAATATAGTGTAATTTTACATTAGCAAATGACACACATGTTCTTCATGGGAAGCTTTTTTTATGTAAATGGGAGTAAATTCCACTTTATAACTTTATGTATTCTACTATTTTATCTCTGCCATTCATTTTTCTCCTCTCTGAATCCTTCTTCTCTTTTCCTCTGTTAGGTTATTGATGGACTATCGCCATTGATGTACTGTCACTGTTCATATTTGTCACAATGTATTTCATGGTGTGTTTTGTGTTTTTCCACTTAATACAATACAAAAGAATTTACACAAAACATTAGGAAAATGTAGCACAGCATTAGAAAACACACACACACACATTTTCAATTGAGAAACACACTTACACTGTAGGATTAGATAGAATCAGGCAGGCATTATTCCATATAAGCAGATCAATAAGCGTACAAAAGATTCATTTGTAATCCAATACGACCATCTACTGGCCACAGTTGGCAAAACACAACAAACATCATCTGTTATGAAGCGCACCAAATACAGAAATTCTATGGCCACTTGCGTCATACATTGGCAATTGTAATTCACAGAAAAGCCAAACCTTAAAGGGACACTAAAGGCATCCAGATTACTTAATCTCAAACGGAGCATTTTATAGATTGTAATGTTCTGATTACCTCTAGTGGCTGTCTTCCTTAGCCAATAACCGAGTTATACTTGGTCATGTGACGTCCAACATTGAATGTAATCAATTACTGATCATAGGGGAGCATTGGATTCAATGCTTTATATGAGAAGCATTGGACTGGACGTGAAGCCAAGGAAGAGTCGCCTGTTAGATAACATTGCGGGAGAAGGAGCAGATAGCAGCACCGAGAGAGAATCTGTGCTGGAAAAAAAAGGTAGTATCACAATTTATGTTCACATTTTATTTTATTTGGGGGGGGAGAGGTTAAGGCAGTCATCTAACTAGTGAGCAGAACACTATATCGTTTAGAATAAAAGATTTTATTCCTAAAATGATAGTGTTCCCTCACACTGCAAGATTGTAAAGAAAGCCTAGCTTCTTAAGTATGCAGCTTCCAATTGTTTCTACTTTGTTAATACAGAACACTATTTTCTAGAATGTCATTGTATGCTGACCATAAAGATTTCCCCTTTACTGGAACAAACTTTGAAGACAGATCATAACTACCCTACTAATTCTTACAGTTCCCAATATGCAGTTGGGAAAGGAAGCATTTTCTTGACATTTACTAAACCAAGTGTCTATCACTACCTATATGTAGCCATGTTTTTAGTTATTTGGTTGTTCAACGACAGTCAAAGTTATACACTTACTTTCCATATTCTTTATCACCCTCAATTACTCATAAATGTACAACTAGCCATTCACCGGGCAACACAATTATTCATTCATACAATACAACTGGCCATTCACCGGGCAACACAATCATTCATACTTGCATTACAACTAGCCTTTCACCAGGCAACACAATCATTCATACTTACATTACAACTAGCCTTTCACCAGGCAACACAATCATTCATACTTACATTACAACTAGCCTTTCACCAGGCAACACAAGCATTCATTCATACATTACAACTATCATTCATACATACATGGACACACAATATCACATACAGTCACAATATTCATTGACACACATTCACAACTGTAGTCGTACAAATACATACACAATAATGCCCAGACACATACATATGGAGACAATTACAATCACGCATAAACACCTAATTGCCCAGTCACATACATACTCTCCCCCCAGCCCCCTGACTTACCACCATGTAGGTCTATTTTGCTCAATAAATCATTCCTATTAATGGAAAACTCCAGGGGGATATCTGGTGTGAAGATACATGAGTGCTGTCTATTCTTAAATTGATCAAGTCTACCTCTCCCCCCCTTCCTGCAGGTTACATGTGTTGACGCTGGAGAGAGATTGTCAGGTATACCTAACATTCATGCTGCCGCCGGAACCCACTTCCGGGTTCACGGCGCTTAGCTCCGCCCTTTTTTCTGACGCGGTCTTTCCACGATACTTAGGAAGACCGCGCCAGATTCAAAGGGCTGGATTATACACTCAGGTGCGGCAGTAAGATCAGCTGCCCCACTCGATGCTACCGGCTCCTCCCTCAGACCTCGGCTTGTAAACGGATTTCTACCTTCTCATCTCTCAGACCTCGGGTTGTAAACGGATTTCTACCTTCTCATCCCCCAGACCTCGGCTTGTAAACGGATTTCTACCTTCTCCTCTCTCAGACCTCGGCTTGGACAAACGGACTTCCTTTCTCTCACTACTAAACTGCAGTTTGTTAAAAGAGACTCCTTCCTTTTCCTCCATTGGGTGAATTAACCATTCCAGTGCCAGAGTGCTTCTAAGTTAAGTAAATCTCTTGTCAAGGAAAGCAAGTCATATTAATTATTATAGTATTTAATTTCTCTAAACTCTCTGTTGACAAATAAGCATTGCATTTTTTCCTTGCATGTGTATTTAAAGATACAGTCTACCTTGTTCACTTCAATAAAATAAAGGAGGTGAAACTTATTGTTTCTGCAGTTGAGTTCCAATTAAAGAGACATTACACAAAAGCATCACAGAATAATCCAGCCAATTCAATGGAACCAGCAGATATTAACTCTCAAGTTTCTGCCCTAACCAATAGAGTAGATACAATTGCTCAAGGGTTACAGGAATTGCAAATTACAAATGAGAGAATATTAACCTATGTTAGAGACATGCAAGGCCATCTTCCTCATGCCGCTCTTCAATCGGCTGGTGATCCTGCTGTCTGTAATCCAGAAAAATTTTATGGAGATAGAACAAAGTACAGAGAGTTTTTAAATTCTTGCAAACTTCTGATAGCTTTGAAACCTCGATCTTACCTCACTGAAAGGTCAAAAGTTTGTTCAGTAATTTCCTTTCTAAGAGGTGAACCTATGGCTTGGGCCCATTCCTTTTTAGAGAATGATGATCCCATACTAGATTCACTGGATGAATTTTTTGAAGCTATGTCTTTATTATATGAAGATCCATATAAACAGGCTACTGCTGATTTAACCATCAGAACTCTCCACCAAAAGAACAGACCTGTTGAAGATTACATCGCCGAATTTAAAAGATGGGCTACCGAAACCCAATGGAATGACATCACACTACGCAATCAATACCGTCTCGGATTATCAGAAGCTGTGAAAGATGAACTCTCTCGTATTGAACTTCCTCCCACCTTAAATGCCTTGATTCAACTTTCCATTAGTATTGACAGACGTCTAAGAGAAAGAAGGGCTGAAAAAGTTCTTACTACGTCTAACTGGAGAAAACATTTTACTACTCCAAAATTTCCTGAAAAATCTCTTCCTCACAATGAACCTATGGAAGTTGGTATAATAAGAAGCAATCTTACTTCGGAAGAAAGGATAAGAAGGAGACAACTAAATTTGTGCATGTATTGTGCTTCAAAAGAACATCTAATCCCAGAATGTCCCCTACTAATCCATTCGAAAGCTGGTAAGCTTCATTCATCTACTTCTATATTGAACGTTCTTCACAAAAAGAAAACATCTACTTATTTTTCTATATCTCTCATATTACAGTGGGATACAAAAAGAATCGTGACTGAAGCCATTATTGATTCTGGTGCTAATGGAACCTTCCTTGATTTTTCTTTTGTTGCAAAGAATAAAATTCCGTGTGTTCGAAAAACCAATTTTATTCCAATCAGAGTTATTGATGGTTCATTCATTTCCTCAGGACCCATAAAAGATGAGACAATTCCTCTAAGAATGATTACCAATAACGTACATACAGAGTTCCTTACATTTGATGTTATTAAATCTCCACTTTATCCCGTCATTCTAGGAATTAATTGGTTAAAAACTCATGATCCTTTAATTAAATGGTCACCCTTTTCCATTTCTTTTCCTTCTGACTTTTGCAAAAAAACCTGCTTCCAACATATTCCTATTCTCCAAACTACTCAGGAATCAATTATACCTCCATTCTACTCTGACTTTTCAGATGTCTTTTGTAAAAAAGAAGCGGAAACACTTCCACCTCATCGAGCATATGATTGCCCAATAGATCTAATACCTGGTGCTCCCATTCCTTATGGACACATTTATCCACTTTCTGAAAAGGAATTACAGACCTTAAAAGAATATCTTAATGAAAATTTACGTAAAGGATTCATCAGACCCTCGACTTCACCGGCTGCCTCTAGTATATTTTTTGTGAGGAATAAGGACCAAACCATCCGACCCATTATAGATTACAGAGCCTTAAATAAAATAACCATAAAAAATCGTTATCCTCTTCCACTAATAAATGAATTAATTGAAAGGTTAAGAACCGCAACTATATTCACTAAACTCGACCTCCGAGGCGCATATAACCTCATCAGAATAAAACAGGATGATGAATGGAAGACCGCCTTCCGGACTAGATATGGTCTCTACGAATATCTAGTGATGCCTTTTGGGCTTTGTAATGCCCCTGCAACATTCCAACATTTTATAAATGATATCTTTAGAGATCTTTTGGATGTTTGTGTTATTATCTACTTAGATGATATTCTAATATATTCTAACAATTTGGATGAGCATAGGAAGCATGTAAGATGGGTTCTATCTAGATTGAGAACTCACAAATTATACGCTAAACCAGAGAAATGTCTTTTTGAAGTTACTGAACTCTCCTTTCTTGGATACATTATTTCACCTCATTCTCTGAAAATGGATAACTCTAAAATCGAATGTATTATTAACTGGCCCGTTCCTACTACTACAAAAGAATTGCAACGATTTCTTGGATTTGCAAACTTCTATAGAAAATTCATTAGAAACTACTCAGAGGTATCACATCCACTTAACCACCTTAACAGTACTAAACGTCCTTTCAAATGGAATAAAGATGCACAAGCTGCCTTCGATAGTTTAAAAAAAAGATTTACAACTGCACCTATTCTACAGCTACCTAATCCAACATTCTTGTATGTCCTAGAAGTCGATGCATCAGATTCAGCTATCGGAGCAGTTCTTTCTCAGCAAAAGACTCCTCAAGATCCACTTCATCCAGTCGCATTCTTTTCAAGATCCTTGAGCTCTGCTGAAAAAAATTATCCTATTGGTGAAAAGGAATTATTAAGTGTTAAAGCTGCCTTTGAAAATTGGCGCCATCTATTAGAAGATACAAAACAACCTATCATAGTCTATACAGACCATAAAAATCTTGAATATCTTTATACTAATAAAACCCTTACGGCTAGACAAGTTAGATGGAACCTATTTTTTAACCGGTTTAACTTCCAATTAATATACAGACCTGGAACTAGAAATAAAAAGGCTGACGCTCTTTCTCGAATTCCTTCTAAAACTTCTATTGATGTTTATCCTCCTAACAAAATAATAGGGATCCTCTCTTCTCTTCAGGATGACTTAAGGAACTTGAATCAAAAGGATCTTGAACTTCCCAAAACACCTAATTTAACAAAAAAGGATGGTATATTTTACTTTAAAAATAGGATTTATATTCCTCCCATTCTTAGGAACAAATTACTCAAAATGGTTCATGATTCACCCCTAGCTGGACATCCTGGAATAAAGAAAACTCTTGAACTAACTTCACGATATTATTGGTGGCCTCGCCAAGATAGAACCATTGAATTATATGTCAAAACTTGTCCTATCTGTCAAAGGTCCAAATCTGAACATAATCAACCTTTTGGATTACTACTTAACTTACCTATTCCAGAAAAACCTTGGCAATCCATTTCTATGGATTTTCTTGTTGACCTTCCTCCATCCCGACAGTTCACCACTATTCTTGTTGTTGTGGACCGCTTCACTAAAATGTCCCATTTCATCTCTTTAAAAAAATTACCCTCCTCCGTAGAATTGTCCAAAGTCTGATAGGGGGACACAATTTACCTCCAAATTCTGGAAAGAGATGTGTCTCTCTCTTCAAATTCAACGCAAACTCTCTTCTGCCTATCATGCCCAGACTAATGGGCAAACAGAGAGAGTTAATCAATGTTTGGAACAATATCTCCGATGTTATTGTTCATACCTGTAAGATGACTGGACCACTTGGTTACCTATGGCTGAATTTTCTTACAATAATACCATTCATTCTAGTACGAAAATGACTCCTTTTTTCTCCAACTATGGATTTCATCCGTCCTCATTTCCCATCCCATCTAATTCTTCATCCAATCCCACGGTTACTTCAAAAAATGAATTTATGTCTTCTCTATTCCTTAAATTACGGGAGAATCTTCAACTCGCCCAAAACTACCAGAAAAAGTTTTTTGACCATAAAAGAAGAATTCCCCCTCCTTATAAAGTGGGGGATCTTGTCTGGCTCTCTTCAAAAAATATTACCACAAACCGTCCTTCAAAGAAATTGAGCTCACTTTTTCTTGGTCCTTTTCAAATAACTACAATCATCAATGATAACGTTGTTAAATTAAAACTTCCTCCAAGTTTTAAACTTCATCCAGTATTCCATGTCTCTTTGCTTAAACCACACATCCCTGATCCTTTCCATAGAGAAATAGTAACAACTCCTGAACCTATCATCGTCCAAGGTGAAGAAGAATATGAAATTCATAAGATTTTGGATTCTCGTATCCACCGTGGCTCTTTACAATACCTTATCAGATGGAAAGGTTATGGAGTTGATGAAGATACCTGGGAAGATTCATCTAATGTTCATGCAAAGAGATTAGTTGATGCTTTTCACAAACGCTACCCCTCTAAACCGAAATAAGTGCACCCAGAGGATGCCCCATGAGAAGGGGGTACTGTCAGGTATACCTAACATTCATGCTGCCGCCGGAACCCACTTCCGGGTTCACGGCGCTTAGCTCCGCCCTTTTTTCTGACGCGGTCTTTCCACGATACTTAGGAAGACCGCGCCAGATTCAAAGGGCTGGATTATACACTCAGGTGCGGCAGTAAGATCAGCTGCCCCACTCGATGCTACCGGCTCCTCCCTCAGACCTCGGCTTGTAAACGGATTTCTACCTTCTCATCTCTCAGACCTCGGGTTGTAAACGGATTTCTACCTTCTCCTCTCTCAGACCTCGGCTTGGACAAACGGACTTCCTTTCTCTCACTACTAAACTGCAGTTTGTTAAAAGAGACTCCTTCCTTTTCCTCCATTGGGTGAATTAACCCTTCCAGTGCCAGAGTGCTTCTAAGTTAAGTAAATCTCTTGTCAAGGAAAGCAAGTCATATCAATTATTATAGTATTTAATTTCTCTAAACTCTCTGTTGACAAATAAGCATTGCATTTTTTCCTTGCATGTGTATTTAAAGATACAGTCTACCTTGTTCACTTCAATAAAATAAAGGAGGTGAAACTTATTGTTTCTGCAGTTGAGTTCCAATTAAAGAGACATTACACAAAAGCATCACAGAGATGGAGGAGACTGGATTTATAAAAATAAATTGGAGCTGTACTCGCATACACTCCAACATAGCTTTCCGGTCAATGACCAATATAACATGCAGCCAGTGCTGGTATAACACCACACACACTGCTTGTATAGCAATGCATCTCTATGCATCTGGTCTATTTAAAGAGGCAGAGGCTTCTTTTGGAGGAAAAAAAGGAAAAGTAAAGAAATACCCTGCCCCTTCAGACCCTGATTTTGAATCACAAACATTTCCAATACTGGCGAGTTTTACACCAGTAAAAGTAATGGCACTGTTTGTCTATAGAAATTCCAATGCCTTTTCTCGTTTTTTTGTGGCCAAGGACAGATTTGCACTAATAATACAGAAATGTAATGTCCTCATTATGGTGCAGCTGCAAAAGGGACAGGCTTTGGCTGCCTGGGATAGCTCTATTTTAAACTACTCTAAATTAAACACAGTGTTCATTTCTATGCTCGCTGATAAAAAGCATTGGTTAAAAGTTGTTGATACTAAAAGCCAAAAGAGTATTGTGGTTAAAAAGAAAATACCAACAGATTTCTATCGTCCACCCTTTTTTTTTTTTTTTTTAAAACATGTTTCTCCAAAAATATCAGCCACCAAAACTTACATTTATTTTTGTATGTTAGCCTATAAAGCAACAGCCCAATCACCGGGGCACTTGACACCATAGCCACTAAAGCACTTTGTAGTGGTTATGGTATCTGGAGTGTTCCTATAATTACCAGTCACTAATGCCTCATTTCCACTGAGCAGTATGGTTCAGAAGGGTTAGAATGATCCAGCCTATTCAGGTGAGTTTTTCCACTGCAAGTCAGACCGCAAGGGGTTTAGACCAAATGCCTAGTGTGTCATTTGTCGTGGGCATTGACATTTTTCTGTTCGCCAATCAATGGATTGTAAAGTGTGACACCAGTAGCTCTGCCCTAACCGTACCGTACTTTTTCCTATGGACCCACATCTGAGGGTGGCCCAGGAATGGTGCGGTTTGGTTCGGTTGTTTTATAATGGAAACATTAAAAATAGTGTTCAAGACTGTACCGACACGTACGTACCGCTCACTGGAAACGGGGCATAATAGTGTCATTTTGTAGCAATGAAACTGTTGTTTTAGAGAGTACAGGCTTGTTGGTAACTGACTGATACAAAGATATGAAAGAGCCCACTCACTCTTTCCATTTTAATCACTACAATTAGTTGCACTGTAGCCCTTTTTGGGGGATTGCATGGCTGGACATCCATTGTTCTGAAGCAAGCTACTTACACGAGGTGGCGATAAAATAGTCATGTTCTGCGCACTTGTACTTCTGTATAACTACTGTTCAATTGTTAATTCTCATTTAAAAAAAACAATTATCCAAAAATTATATAATCACTACAATTAGTTGAGTTAGTTATGGTGCCTCTTGTTTCTCTTTATATTTACCTTTGATGGTTTGTTATGAATCCTCTCTCCTACTAATCAATGATAATTTGTACTCTGCCTTGAGGAAACCCTTCCCTCTCGTATTTACTCTTCTGATTGTATGTTTTTGCCCTTATATTTACAGGGCAGTTTATTGGACTTCTTTGACATTTTGTTGCTTCTCTCAGATGTGACCTGCTTGAGTAAAAAAAAAAAAAAAAGTGTCTTTATTTGTATTTGTAACCCTAAGTAGACACTATTAGTTTTACTTTATAAATAGTCTTTCTAGGAAAATAAGATATATACATTCTAAGAATAAACCCCAGTTTCACAAGTGGTTAGCAGTGTGTCCTACATATGTTGACAGGCTCAGTGTAAGTAAAAAAAATAAAAAAATAAAAAAAAAAGGGCTAGAATTTTGTGAGAGATGTAAAACCGCAACATATGAAGAACATTTTCTCCAAACATTATATAAGTTATGTTCAACAAACAGGTTTAAACTACAAATGTAATTTAAAATCACATGATTTAAAAATGAAATATTAGGTTACTCACAAATCAGTCATTCTGAACTGTCAATTGAATTGTAAAATACTGGACAGAGTAGGCAAGTAAGAAACTTTTAAAAAAAGAACACTCCAAGCACTATAACCACTACAACTCTGTGCTATAGTTATGGTTCAAGGAGTGCCCTTGCAATCCCCAATGTAAGTTTTAAAATGGTTTTGAGTTCTTGGGGTCCCCTGACACCGCTTCACTCCTGAGTGAGAGTCAGAAGCTCTCTGCTCGAGCTAAGCCTGGTAGTTCAGAGCTTAGCTCACTAGCGGAGAGATCAGCTGTCACCCTTGGTCAATGAGATGGTACTTCACTGAAAAATGCGCGGAACAGGAGTTTCTGTTTCCTGTACCCGGTCGGACTGACAGGAAGGTGCACACTGAGCGTGCACCTTCCTATCAGTCCGGCCGGCCACCGCGGACGGCAGAGCGGCTCGGCCACGCTACAGGGAAGGTGAGTATCATCTGCAGCCGCCTGAGCGCTCTTGACAGAGCGCTCAGGCGGCTGCAGAATTTAAAGGGCCGGCGTATAACACGCACCCACGATTTCTCCCCTATTTTCAGGGAGAAAAAGTGCGTGTTATACGCCGATAAATACGGTATATAAATTGTACTGTGCTACCCCATCTTGTTTGTATCTTTACCATCTCCCCTTCTTTAATCTGTACCCATGCAACTTTATGCCTCAATAAAAGAAAGATTGACAAAAAAAAAAAAAAATGCAAAAGACTATGAACGCTACGTGTATATTTATGAATTTATTTAACCCCTTAAGGACATGACTGAAATATTCCGTCATGATTCCCTTTTATTCCAGAAGTTGTGTCCTTAAGGGGATATAGATTATAGATTTATATATATATATAGTTTAATTCTATTCTAAGTGTATTTTGATATAAATATATTAAAATACATTTAGAATACAGTTACATATATCATTTTTTTAGTAATTCGAGGCCTGCCTGATGGCTTCCCATGCTCTGCCTCACTGCTGGGCTCCAGGGGGAGCGATCACTCGGGGCCCAGCGATCAGGGGAGTATTGCATGATGCCCCGACATCGAGGCAATACCGCTAGAGCGGCTGGAAGCGATCATGATCCTTGGCAGAGAGATCAAAATTAACGGTCAATCCAATGCTTTCCTATGGGAAAGCATTGGGAGGCTGTTACACATGGGCGGCAAAATGCCTTGCTGTGCCAATCAGCACCTTCTTCTTACAGAGATGCATTGAATCATTGCATCTCTATGATGAATGTTTAGCACCTCCTTTAAGAGAGTGGAAATGCACAACGTCAGTGCAACTCTGACCCTGGAATCACGTTAAGTAGCCGCCTAAGTGATGGCCACTAGATATTTTTCTAGGTTTTAATGTAAACACAGGCTTTTCTCTGAAAACGCATGGTATACATTAAAAAGCCTTTAGGGACATTCTATACACGCCATAAATTAAACTAAAGTTTTGATGACTATAGTGTCCTTTTAATCATGATAATATATTCAATGGCTTCCATGAAACCATAAGTTTTTGGTCTCCATTATTTTGGACTTTGACTTCTCAGTCTGATGATCTCTCACTGGCTGGTATATTTCAATTTCTTCCTGGTTGCTGCGACTGCGTAGACATAGCCTGTAAAAGATGTGTAATTAAATATCCCTAAAATGTTAGACTGAAACACATAGAAATAAATGGGATTGCGACAGAACAAAATAAAACTGACACACTGGAAACATCTTAAGAAAAAGTATAAAAATGGTTTTATTAAGAAAATTGTTTAACAAAATATGTAAAAATAAAAATAGCAGAAGCCAAGTATGTTCATAAAACAATGCATTTACAATAAGGAATAGCTTATACAAAGTACATGAGAAATTATAGCTTTTGGATAAAGGAGGTTACCATGAACAGACTGAAAAGAACAGTTTACTTAACTCCCTTTGTTTAATAACTTATTTTTACATCCATGTGATACAAGGACTCCATGTTCAAACTTTCCCAAGTGAAACTACTTGTACAAAACGATCGTTAAAATTATAAAACCAAGACTTTTTTTTGGAAACCAAATTTCTGGGGAAGGAAGTCAGAATTTGCTGACATCAACGATCTAAACAACTTCAAGTATAGTTCTAAAACTTGTTCAAGCTTGGCAATAGAAGAGATTGAATTCATTGTTGTAAGATTAGAGAAGGGAATTGGGCATTTTATTTTATTTACTTTTTGGTGTGATTAGTTTGGAGAACCTTAAGATTTTGTTCTAGAACAGCAGCTTTCTTTGCTAATGGCAGTCTCTTAGGCTCCTAGCACATGTAGCTAAGACTCCAGCCATATGCAACTCAAAACAACTTTCCAATAATGGAAAACTTTAGGAGTCAGACGATCTTTCTAAGATTTTACAACGGAGATTGGTATAATACACCTATAACAGAAATAAAGAGATGTAAATAATCCTTAGAGATTGTGCAGAGGGGAAATTTATGACCAGGAATAATTGCCAACAGCTGGTACCATACACTGTAGATGGAAGGGAAGTTTGGGAAGTATAAAAAAAGTATTGCAGGTGAAAGCCTCACATTGACGGAGTTGGAATTTCACTGAAAATCCAATTCAGTCAAAAGATAAGAAAAAGTAGGGTATCTTTGTTTTACGTATCTTTCCCTAAACTTGACAAAAAAAAACAAACAAAACAGTGGCACTACCCTGTTACAATATGCTGTGTACGGGTTTTCTGCACATAAATTAATGAGAAGTGTTTTGGCACTGTTGTAGTTGGGCGTCCCATTCAATTGATATAAAAATTATATATACATACATACACATTATATATATATATATCGCATACACATATATACACACACACACACAGATATACACATACACAGTGAGGTCTACACACAGAGCAGGGAAATGCAGATTTTTATTTTTTTAACGGACCAGAGCTGTTAAGAGTAGTTCCCTCCCCAGTATATGATCACGTAATACATAGACAGATCCAAAGGGCAATTAAGGACACTATCCCAAACTCAAACCAAATGTTTAGCCGTTTCAAGTTGCTCTAGGGTTTCTATTAACATTGCAATAGAACGTTAGGAGTACAAATCTGTGTTTCATTAATCACTCAAAAGGTTAAAAAAATAAAATAAAATATGGGGGTTACTCCACCTCCCTCCCTCCATTTCCAACACCGAGATCAAGTCCCTGCAGCTGCTTGACCTACATCACATTGAGGCTTCAATAGTCCTATGCATCTCAGAGATTGGGGACTGATTGCACATGTGTGGCAGCTCTGCAATCGCATTGAAAGTTAGCTGAGAGGTTTATTTAACACTGCAATGTAATCATTGCTTTATCTACTAAACAGCAGTGTGTTACATTGCAGAGCTAAAACTAAACCCACTCCATCTGTCCATCTGAGCAACTTCATTGAGTTGAAGTGGGACAGGTGCCTTTGGGGGTACTTTAAAGGGATCCTATAGTGCCAGGAAAATAGGGTTAATAGGTCCCCCCCATATGTCGTGCCCCCATCAGCCACTTACCTGAATCTAGCGCTGATGTCCCTCAGTGCTGAGTCAGGCGCCGCCCACGCACCTCACCGGCGGACGTCAGCCGGCGGGGGAGAACTAAGCGCATGCGCGGCAATGGTCGTGTGAGCATTAGACCTACCCATATGAAAGCATTATTCAATGCTTTCCTATGGGTAAAATCTGACGCTGGAGGTCGGTGAGGATTCCGGAATGCTCCCGCAGTGGCGGTCTGGCATACTTAAAGCTGCAATGTAAACATTGCAGTTCTCTGTAACTGCAATGTTTAACATTGCAGCACTAAGTCCAAAAGTGTCACAGCACTTCAATTAGCTGAAGTGGACTCGGTGCCTACAATGTACCTTTAAGCAAAAAGTTCCATGTGTCTGAAAAAAATTTACTATTACAAGAAATTTACGTAGATGGTGATTTAAAAAAATAGTTGAATCAAGTTTAAATATTATACACTTTTGTGTAGATTTTTTTTAACAAGGAGGCCATTATTATGCTTAGACCCAGCATAAGAAGTTTTGAAAAAGAAAAAAGTGTGCTGAAAGTGAAACATACAATGAACTGAAAAGAAAATTAACTAAATAGCCAAGCGGTGAGAAGAGTTAAATTGGTGATTGTGTTTCTTCAATTCAGCTATTGGGTTTTGTTTCACTATCGTCAACGGTTTGATGAATAAACCCCTAATTCTTTAGGAATTCTCATGTGAGATAGCCAGACAGACAGACACACACACACACACACACACACACACACACACGAGGTATGAAATGAAAACCCTCTGTTATAAAAAGGTAAAATATACAAATAAAAAAACACACAAGTGTGGATGTGCCTAAAAAGAAAGAAATTGGGGGTGTGGCTTGGACAGCAAGGAGAGCAGTCACATGGCTCCTGAGCTCTGGCGATACAGAGCTGATTACCGAGCAAACATTTGTTTTTCTCCAGCCAAACACCCAAGTTACCTGTCTGACACCTCACAGACGGTATGGGGAAGAGACACAAGAAGCTCAAAGCCCTGTCAGGTGAGGGAACCCACAACATCAGCAACCTGCTACAGCATGGACCTAAGCCCAAGATGGCGGTGCGGCAGGAGCCTAATACCTCAGGAGGAGGAACTCCTGGATGCTCCAGACACTATCTCAGAGGGCCTTAACACCTGGCCCAACTAAAGGCCTTGCAGCAAAATATGGCTGTGAAGGATTTCCTGTACTTACATGTATGCCTTCAGTTATAGCTTCTCCTTGCTGTCCAAATACTTGTGAAATGTTTTAAGTATGTGTTAAAATTGTATTCGTCTACCGAACAAGAGACCACCCACCCTGGGTAGCAATCAGCTTTAGAATGTGGAGAAAACCGCAACTTAATTGCTCCTAGGTGGCAAAACGAACACGTGGTGAGAACAAAGGATGGCGGCCATCTTAAAATTCACGAATGCGGTCAGCGGGGCTTACACATGAATTGCCTGGAACTATTTTCGGCACGGCAAACATGCGAACGCCCGGTCCCCATGGAAGTCCTGGATGTATACGTTTCCCTCCATGAATCAAACTGGCATTCGGTAGATAGAATCTACCGAACGAGGGGAACATTCGTATGTAACCAGCTGTACCATACGAACGGTGGTTTTCGTGTAGTTGGACGCGAACAGAGACCGTCTCTTGCTACTGATTTTATGGAACTCTAGCTCGGATACTTCCACATGGCGAGCCGGTCAAAACTTCTACACGATGCGACACAGAAACTACCAAACAGAAATTTGTGAGATTTGGATATGGGAATACCAGTATCCTCAGCTACCCAGTTATAGTTGTATGTGTTATGGAAAGTACTTTTTGAAAATTGTTAAAATGTATAATATTTCTGGCCAGCAGATAATTGAGCTTTGTGTATTGTTGAAACTCAATTATCTAGCCTGGCCCAGAAGATGAGTTTTGTATCACATAAATTGTGGGTCCTGTGTGCCAGTAAAATCAGTCTTATTCCAGCATTAAGCCTTGGCTCATGTGTGGATTATTCGGTGATTACAGCGATATTTCTTCTTGGGATTATTGGAGTTATTCTGCTATTGGGAAAAGGAATACTAGACGGTGATACTAACTACTACCGTCACAATGGCTAATCACCTAGATGATTACTGCAGACGCAAAAATCGAAAGTTCCGGGGCATCGTTGAAATGGTGGGGAATGACAAACTACCACACTTTGTTAGAAGATTGCTGGCAACTATCCTGCCCCAATGACAAGCCAAATCACTAATTGAAAGCTGTCACCGATTACCCACCTCGAATAAAGTGCCGGTAGGTGTGCCTAGAGATGTGCTGGTCCGCTTCTCGTTCCGCAACAAAAATATGGTGATGGAGACACTGCGGATGCAGTCATCCCTACAATTCAAGGCCTCAAGCTTCACAGTTCTACAAGACCAATGCCGGTCGTACCACTGGAATGGCACCGATCCTACCTGCCTATAACAAAGCTACTCAGGGCAGCCAACATTCCATATTGCTGGGGGACGGCACACTCAAGAAGGCAACACTTTTATAGACTCACCACCATAGCTAACTCCACTACCTTTCTGCAGTCCTTGGGCATATCCAGCCCAAACACGGGGACCACCACAACCTGGGACTTTTCCGCAATTACCCCCTTTTGTCCCATGCTCTGCCACAGACACAGGTTGACTAGTCTTACATTGGGCATATCTTGCCAGTAATAATGTTCTTTAAGTTGAGTTTTGTTATCCTTATGAAGTGCACGATATGGTTGCTTAAGCTGTAACCCACTTTAAAGTAATGCCAGCACTAAGCTAATATAAATCTGTCCAGATGCGGTGGATACCACTTGCGCCCACTTCTCCCCGCACCCCCATTCTCAAGGATACAGAGTTCCATTATTATCATTACCCTGCCATAAAACAACATGACCACATGGTAACTGAGGATAAAACAAGTTGTTATGCTTTTCATAGCATTTACCAATATCTCCCCTTATGCATCCTCATACCAGTATCTATTGCAGGGGTAGGCAACATTTTGGTAGTAGTACTATGCCAAAACATGAATTTGGAAGTCCCTTGGTGTGCCGATCCAATTTTTAAAATTGAGGGGTTTCTGCTTGTGTTATTTATGGGTGCGGCACTTGCTTTGTAACTTAATATTTGTGCGTATGTGGGCTATTATATTGTATATGTTCATGAGTAGTTTGTTGTGTGTGATACCTATGAATGGGGGCAGTTTGTGGAATTGTGTGTCTGGATGATATGTCACATTGTGTGGGGCTGCTTGTGGTATTGCATGAGAGGCTACTTGTGTGCTTGTATGTGGATTGTCAGTGATGTTGGGTTTGTGGGCACTGTGTGTGGACTTTGTATAAGGAGGAGGCTTCTTCTGCAGCTCTGTGTTTATCCACCAGTGTGGATGGCTTCGCTGGGGTCCCGGGGACCGGGTTGGCAAGGTACCAGTCAAATGCAGGAGCTTCAATAGCTGCTGTAGGCAGCTCTACTCCAGTGCAGATTCCCATTCACAAATCCTGGGAGGAAGTGACCAGAGATCACTTCTTCTATGTGCTGCAATGCGTGAATTGAGTGTCTGACATCAGCGGCAATCACTGCTCGGTTTGCAGTAGCAAATATCTGACGTCCTGGGACTTCTGATAGGCCAGAGCCTTTTTTCTCTGGCAGCCTCAAGTGCCATGCATGGCACATAGGTCGCTGACCCCTGATTTATTGTATCGTTTAAAATAGGGCATGGTTTGTCTACTTGGAACAGCAAATGCTCTAACAGTTCCACAATAATGAGCAGGTTTGTCTTTACCACATTAATTTGCCCGCCAAAATATAGAATGTCACAATTCAATTTCTACACCCTCCTCACACCTACATGTGAGTATTTACGGTTTATTGATATGACATGTAAGCTTGCATTTATTACCAAAAGAAGAAATATATATATATATATATATATATATATATATATATATATATATATATATATATATATATATATAATATCATATGTCTAAAGATCTGTTTGCACCAGCTGTTATGGCAGTGCAAATCTGCTTGTTTACTCTATGCACAAATAAAATAAAGAATTATTAAAAATAAAAAAATAAAATATACACCCTTTGGAATAGTTCAAATTTGGTATCTCAAAAAGGACATGTTCTACCTTAATTTTTTCCAAGAAATTGTCTATTTTACAGGAGGAAAAGGACTGCCAGAAGTTTTCCATTTGTGAAATGTTTGGCCAGTGTCCAATATTTCAGTTCTATTCTGTTTATGATGATTGGCTACTTAGGTTTCCACTCAACTGGAATCTACAATGAACAAAATTATAAAAACGCAACACTTGTTTTTGCCCTCATTTTCCACGAGCTGAACTCAAAGATCTAAGACTTTTTCTATGTACACAAAAGGCCCATTTCTCTCAAATAGTGTTCACAACTCTGTTAATGAGCACTTTTTTACCTGTGTGGCATATCAAGATGCTGATTAGACGGCATGATAATTGCACAGGTGTGCCTTAGGCTGGCCACAATAATAGGCTAAAATGTGCAGTTTCACGGTATTGGAGAGGCCCGGAGCTGTCTGGGGGAGGTCCGAAAACCAGTCAGTATCTGATGTGACCATTTACCTCACACAGTGCAACACATCTCCTTCACATAGAGTTGATCAGGTTGTAGATTGTGGCCTGTGGAATGTTGGTCCCCTCCTCTTCAATGGCTGTGCAAAGTTGCTGGATATTGGCAGGACCTGGAACACGCTGTCGTATACGCCGATTCAGAGTAGGATATTGATTATTTTTTTAGAGCCAATACCGATAATCTGTGAACTTTCAGGCCGATAGCCGATATTCTGTATATTTACCATTTTGAAAAAAATAAACAATTTCTTAAGGTAAATGCACAAAATATACATGCCACATGTAGTGGATGCAGTGTGTTTAGACAGGGGAGCTGTGTGTATTTGTGTATAGTGAATGCAGTGTTTGTGTATTGTGCATAGTGAATGCAGAGTGTGTGTTTGTGTAGTGTGTGTAATGCAGAGAGTGTGTGTTTGTATAGTTGTGAATATAATGAATGCAGAGTGTGTATAATGCAGAGTGTGTGTGTTTGTATAGTTGTGTATATAATGAATGCAGTGTATGTTTCTGAAGGGATTTCATTTGTGCCCATTAAATGTAGTACTCATTTGACAAAAGACAAAACAAAGCAAGATTTTCTGAGCATGCTAGCAAATGCACACCCTGCCTGGAATCTGATTGAAACTATGCTGCTCTCATCTCTTTGAATTTTCAGAAAATCATCTTATCTCCGCACTTGTTACCAGTTTTATTTTTAATATTTATAGGCTTTATTTTTTTTGTCTCCCCTCCCTGCTTGTTACCTGGCCAGGGAGGGGGGCTATAGCAATCCCTGGTGGTCCAGTGGTATGTACTGAGCAGCAGGAGGGCCGGCAGCAAGAGCTTACCTTTCCAGCAGCTCCCAGTGTAAATCTCACGGCCTGCTTGCCGTGTAGAGCATTGCCATGGTAACCTGTCGCAACGCTCTAAGGGCCACTGGTGTCGCGAGATTTACACTGGGAGCTGCTTGAAAGGTAAGTAAGCTTTTGCTGCCGACCCCCCCAGGACCGCCAGGCTTGTAATGGGCCCGGCGGTCCTGGTATGTATTATCGGTATCTCTATTGGCCGATACCGATATTGCCGAAAATACTGAATATCGGCCTATATCATCGGTAAAACCGATAATCGGTCGATACCTAATTCAGAGCATCCCAAACATGCTCAATGGGTGACATGTCCGGTGGGTATGCTGGCCATGCAAGAACTGGGATGCTTTCAGCCTCCAGGAATTGTGTACAGATCCTTGCAACATGGGGCAGTGTATTATCATGCTGCAACAGGAGATGATGGTCATGGATGAATGGCACAACGATGGGCTTCAGGATCTCGTCACGGTATCTCTGTGCATTCAAAACACCATAAATAAAATGCACCTGTGTTCGTTGTCCAGAACATACACCTGCCCATACCATAACCCCATCGCCACGATGGGCCACTCGATCCACAACATTGACATCAGCAAACCGCTCACCCACATGCTGTCTGCCATCTGCCCTGTACAGTGAAAACCAGGATTCTTCCTTGAAGAGAACACCTCTTTAAAGTGCCAGACGCCATCGAATGTGAGCATTTGCCCACTCAAGTCGGTTACGATGACTAACTGCAGTCAGGTCGAGACCACGATGAGGATGATGAGCACGCAGATGAGCTTCCCTGAGATGGTTTCTGACAGTTTGTGATGATTCTTTGGTTATGCAAACCGATTGTTGCAGCAGCTGTCCGGGTGGCTGGTCTCAGACAATACTGAAGGTGAAGATGCTGGATGTGGAGGTCCTGGGCTGGTGTGGTTACACATGGTCTGCGGTTGTGAGGCCGGTTGGATGTACTACCAAAAACTCTGAAATGCCTTTGGAGATGGCTTATAGTAGAGAAATGAACATTCAATTCACGGGCAACAGCTCTGGTGGGCATTACTGCAGTCAGCATGCCAATTGCACGCTCCCTCAAAACTAGCGACATCTGTGGCATTGTGCTTTGTGATAAAACTGCACATTTTAGAGTGGCCAGTCGAAGGCACACCTGTGCAATAATCATGCTGTCTAATCAGCATCTTGATATGCCACACCTGTGAGGAAGATGGATTATCTCAGCAAAGGAGAAGTGCTCACTAACAGATTTATGAACACTATTTGAGAGAAATAGGCCTTTTGTGTACATAGAAAAAAAAAAAAGTCTTGAATCTTTGAGTTCAGCGGTTGCAAAATGGGGGCAAAAATAAAAGTGTTGCGTTTATAATTTTGTTCTGTGTAGTTTTTAAATGCAAATTGGTGTTTTTCCATGTACATCTGTTAACGGTATGTTATGGGGAATTAAAGTGTTCTAGAGTCATGATAAGCCTCAAAGAGACCATGTAGTCATCAGAACTACAGCTTATTGTATTTGTTTTGGTGAGTATAAAATCATTCCTTTCAGGTTTTTTTGCAGTAAACACTATTTTCAGAGAACAAGCATTTTTTAACATTACAGCCTACTGATAACTCAATTGGCCACTAGAGGTGCTTCCTGTGGCAGTACTGCCATTAGGGTCTCCATCCTCTGCATGGAAATACAGACACACTAATATATATATAAAAAATATATTGTTTTATTCAATAAACTCATGTGCAGACTGGAATAAAGAAAATTTTGCTATATGAAGGCAGCAAGGGGGGGAGCACGCTTACTTACTGCATTAACTCAATATGTTTTAGCACAATTGCTAAAGATTATTTATTTTATTTATTTGGAAAAGGAGGGATACATTTTTTTTTAATTTAGGTGGTTTTTATTTCTACATCTACGATTTAGCAGGAATGGCTTAAAGGGACACTATAGTCAAAAAAAATTACTTAAACTTAATTAAGAGGTTTTTGTGTATAGATCATGCCCCTGCAGTCTCATTGCTCAATTATCTACCATTTAGGAGTTAAATCACTTTGTTTATGCAGCCCTAGGCACTCCTCCCTGCATGTGACTTACACAGCCTTTCTAAACACTTCCTGTAAAGAGTCATCTAATGTTTATATACTTCCTCTTTTGCAAATTCTGTTTTATGTACAATTTCTTATATCCTGCTCTGTTAATAGCTTGCTAGACTCTACAGGAGCCTCGTGTATGTAATTGGAGTTTAATTTACAGAGCAGAAGATACAAACCTTAAAAGTAAGTTCCCTGTGATTGAAAACTAATTTTTTTTCCATGTCAGTCACAGTCGAGGGGGGGGGCTGCATAAACAGAAAGAAAAGTGATTTAACTCCTAAATGGCAGAGAATTGAGCAGTGAGACTGCAGGGGCGTAATCTATACACGAACACTGCTTCAGTAAGTGAAATTTGTTTTGGTGACTATAGTGTCCCTTTAAATTCAAAAGGGAAATGTGAAAATTGTATTTGTGCTCCCCCTCCCCTCTTTTGTTCCCCGCCTTCCCTTTTCCACCTTCTCATTCATTATTTTGCAGTCACCAGCTGGGAGGCTAAACAAGTTAGCCCACAACACAGAAAATAAGAAATATCTATATCAGGGCTCTTTTTCATCACTTTACTCTTTTCCTTTGATGTTAAACGGAGCATATGGTTGTGCCCGAGAACTAAGGGGCATGGATGAAACCCACCACAAAAGCTTGGGACACCCACTAGTGGGCGGTAGGGACCAGGTTGACCCCCACTGCACTAGACAAACTGTAAGGGGGTTGATAAATGCAATGCAAAGATTAGTAAAAATCTAATTTTAGAGAAAAAAAAAAATATATATATTTTTTTTACTACACAAACAGACAAAAAATTCCCTTGCAATTCTTCCTTCTTAGAGCAGCACGAGGACTGCCAGATATGGATGGAGGTCCCACTATCAGACAACAGTTTCAATTCACATCTCCAGTCACTAAAACATATTCCAATTTAGGTTTTCAGTAGAAGAGTGTAGCTCCCATTAATATCTATTAGACGGGGACACATGTATATCTTGTTACTGAAAGAAGCTTAATAGACCATCACAGTACTATAGACTGCAATGTAATGTTTATAGTGGTTTAACAACTGCGGATATATTTGGAAACATACTAATTATATTGTGTTTTTGTGTAAATATATTTCCGTATTGGACAAATCATGCCATTTCAAATGAAAGGCATTTAGTGTATATGGACTTAACCCAATTAGTGTTCGTACTCAGGATGCATTCTAATAATTACAATCAAGAAAGTTGAGAAAAGAAAAGTTTTAGCAATTGTGACTTACTGCAAGTTTTACTTGGGTGCCCTGTCCCCCATAGTAACATTGTTGCAGTGTTCGGAAACTGAAATTATTATATTACACGACTAAGACTGCCTCTAGTGGCTGTCAGACAGCCACTAGACGCACTTGCTGCTCGCTAGGCAACGAGGACATCCAGTGTCAGATTAGTCCCTATAGGAAAGCATTGCAGCAATGCCTTCTTACGGGGAGGGCCTAATATGTTTGCTTGTATCAGTTGATTACAGAAAGGGTTTATTTTCTTAACCCCATACATTGCAGGCGGCAGCAGAGGGAAGTATAGTGTAAGAAATACAGCTTTGTATTCTTTACACTATAGTATCCCTCGAATACTAACCTATGAAAAGCTCCTCTACCAATCTCTAGAGTATCCATATTTTAAAAAGTACATTCTAATTACCATAACCACAATAGCCCCTGTAGTGGTTAGGATGCTAGGAGTCCATGCGTGCCATCCTAAGGAAAAAGGAACACTTCAAGCACCATAACACTTTGGTTCAAGCAGTGCACTGGCACACATTTGAAGCATAATGACTTCTTTACACTGCTTCCTGGACAGCCAATAGTTCCTAAGCAGCAACTTTCATTAGCTCTCCTAACCCAAGCTTTGGAATACTTAGAATTTCTGGCAGTGGTAGTAGGGGAGGGGCACCCAACAGTCACCCAGATAAGTTGATATATTTGAAAACCGTTTCTATTCTTAAGATGGGGCACCAGGGCACTTTTTGCACCATAACGACTAAAGCGGTGGTTATGGTGCTTAGAGTGTTCCAGTGTTAATTTCGGGGTCTTATTTTCAGGGGAAGACAGCATTGCAGTGGAGCGGTTATACATTATGTAATTACTAGAAAAAAAGAGTAACATTGGAATAGAAAAGATGGACAGATTTTGACCCAAAATGGGTACACTTCAGAGGAATGTTATTGGATATTCTAGCTCGAGCCAACTTTATGTTCGCTACTGCAATTTGTTCAGGCTACAGCTGCCCATCCCTTTCATTATACAAGTTGCATTATGGATCCATACATACAGGAAATGAGAGGTCAGGTAATCCTGGCTGTTCCATTTCATATTAGACAGCAAGGCTTCCATACATTCAAAATATGTAAAGAAAAAAAAAAGAAAAAAAATAATCAAAAAAGCCAGATTAATAAATTACAGATTATGTAAAAAGCTCATATTTACGCATGCATTTGCTGTAAATGTCCAGGCTTGCTATGAACATCTGTCAAAAAAACCAACCCCCCAACCCCAAATTGCATGATTTCCTCATTTCTAATGCAAGAGATGCCAGAGGAGGTTATGGGAATATAAATTTGTATGTCAGCTTTCTAATGAAGAACTGGTAAAAATACAGCTCTCACAATAATGCAAGTAGATTTCACTCTTATGAGTTGAGCAAGGGCAATTCTTATAAGGTGCACATCTAGAAACATAGAATGTGACGGCAGATAAGAACCATTCGGGCCATCTAGTCTGCCCAATTTTCTAAATACTTTCATTTGTCCCCGGCCTGATCTTATAGTTAGGATAGCCTTATGCCGTTTAAAGTGAGAACGTGATATAGAACAACCTTGCACCATAACCTATGCAAGAAATCTATCTAGGAGTGTCCTTTTAATGCATTATAAAGTGTGTGGGGGTGGCAGCAAGTCTGCCTACCCATTTAAAAAAAAAATAAGTTAATAAGCCAGCCAACAGTTCTATTCATAAAATAGAGCTAGGTGACCATGTAAACATTAGGTATCCATTTAATCTTGGGTGGGGGTTTAATTATGGGAAATTGAACTATCACTATACATAATTTCACTTTGTTTAACACTATCTTGGCAAGATCACTGGACAAAAAATAAAAATTAAATAAAGTCATCCAACAAAATTTAGCTTATAGCGATAAATTGTTATTTTAACATTTCTTTGTAGAGGCAAGGGAAGTGGATCAGTACGCAGTAACCCAGGGGGAGAAAAATCTCCCTCCCCCACAACTGTCTAAAAAGTCTAAAATAGTTATAAAAATTAGCACCCAAAAAAAAAAATTATAAAATTAAAAAATTGCAAAACAGAAACATAGACTTCTTACACTGAAGAACCCTGATAGTCTTAAAATTTAAGGCACTGCTTTTTTATGTGCATAGGCAGTACATGAGAAGTCCAGTCCTGCAATATGTAAAGTTCAATAAGCTTTAGGTTCTTAAAACAGAAGTTCAAACCTCCACCTAGGAGCCCCATCAGTCAGGAATTACTCTTCCTGGCTCTTGAACCCTGTTGTGTGAGAAGGTGTTCCAGGTACTGGTTTTTAATATTAACCATGCACAGCTCAGCACACTGATCTGACTTGGAAGTGTGTTCTACCAGGGAACAACGAATGAAAGTCCCACTCACTCAGTCTAGTATGCTAGTGCATCAATTCATTAATTGGAATGACGCCAGGAGTCCAATTCTCAGCACGGAGATGACTTTTAGGCAAGACTAAGCTCCGATTTGAGTCTTGTTCTCAGAAATCAAACAGAGAAAGCAGGTTTGATATCCTAGCACCATAACTACTTCAATAAGTAAAAGTGGCAATTGGTGCCTAAAGTGCCCACGTTAATGTGGGGCATTGTTAACCAAGGAACAAGTTCCCGGAAAAAAAAAAAATATAAGCTACTTTAGTAAGATTTCCTGCAACATATTACCCCACACATTAAAATGCAGCATTGTTTGTAATTTGTGACCAGGAAGCCACATCACACAAGCAGATTTAGAACAAACTAGAGTTTAACAGACCATCCCCAGCTGGAAGGCCAAACTTTAACCTCTTAAGGACACATGACATGTCATGATTCTTTTATTCCAGAAGTTTGGTCCTTAAGGGGTTAAACAAAGTGAATTATAACATTATTTAAACCGGAGATGACAAACCATAAGAGACAGCTTTAAAAACCAATTAAAATGAAGATAAAGCAGTAGGTCCTAAACAAGGATCAGGTTTTCCTTTACTGTGACTTTAAGAAGTTTTTTGTAATTTTTATTTTTTATTTTTTATAGGCACTTTGTGTACAATAATCCTTCCCTTGCCATGTTAATATTGCCTACTAATGTCGTAGCTTAGTATTTAATGCAGAATGCATACTAATACACATTATTCATTACTCTAGCTTAAATATAACACTGAATTAACAATTTAAAGGCACTTGTATGTCAGATCATGATCTCACATCACCTTGAATTGGCAAAATATTCTCTCTGCTCGGACTACAAACATTAAATCTTAAAAGGGAAATCTTCAATATACCTCCGAAGGGCTGGTTGAAGAGGGAGCCCAGCAAGACCTTCTCTTCCATACTGGATTACAATACGTCTGCGACAGAGCTCCTGTAAGCTCAGAGTCCTGGTCTTCCGCAGGGGCCGTGAAAGCACAAGAAAGGAGCCATTTTGGCAGCGCAAAGGGTTGCAGTGGCTTTGTTCCACTGCCAGTTCTAGAAGTCCAACAAGGCAGTCTGAGAAAATCTCCCTTAACCAGAAGCAGCCTCTGTAAAACAAGACTCTGACACTGACAGGGCCAGATTCCATTTTAATGCTAACACTAAACAGATGGCTCCCTTGGGAGCTGTCCCGCACTAGGAAGGTGCCAGTTGGCTCTCTCTCCAGCATGGCATGCGCTTCAGCCGTGGGAAGGGGTCCCCAGTAAAAACCACTGGTCTGAAGTGTAGCCAAGGAACGTTCCACAAGTTGGCGCTCACTTCCCCTGAAAAGTCTGTACCGGGACTCAGGCAGAAGAGGTAGACTTGCTGGGTACAGAATCCGAGCTGACTCTTGCTGGGGACAAACCCCCGCGCCAACCATTTCAAAGACTCCATACGTCAAGGAACATCCTTAATCTCCAGAACTTCTGTTTAATCAACCTAAAGAGACAAGAACAAGTTTAAAATAAATGCATGGATTTCACATTACTGAAAATAAGTCATAGCAAAGCAAGTGGTGTAAAAGTTAAATCAAACCTGCAATTAATCCAACTAAACCATTTTTGGGGAGGCAGATTTTAAACTCACTTTGGATTCTCACTCTAGTGAATAAATCTGCAAAACAGCAAACATTTACCCAGTCATGCACACTCTCCTTCAGATTTAAGGAAAAAAATAAAAATAATACACCCCTCCCCCCACCTCCATAAAACAAGACCAGATTGAACAAAAATAAAAAAGTGGGGCAAGGAGGGGACAGAGAGAAAAAATAAATAAAAACCACCACACATTTCATTTAATTAAGAAGTTAACTGCTAAGGAAGGGTCTAAGACACAAAATATTTTCAGTTTCGTCTATTTTTTTTTCTGTCTCCAATTTTTGTGGTATTGGGATAATTCCTATGGACACTTTAGTTTGTCAGAACATTTTTTTCCATAAAATATATTTAAAGGGATCCTGTAGTGAGTAAAGTCTGGCACTGGAGGTCAGTGAGAACATCCAGCATCCAATAACGGACCAAAAGTCCATTTGGATTCTGGAATCCTTCTCATGGGTGTTTGAGAGCCACAGAGGGCAGACTTAGAGCTGCAATGTAAACATTGCAGTTCTCTGGAACTTCAGTGTTTTACATCGCAGCACTAAGTACAATAGGAACAGCACCCAGACTACTTCAAAGAGCTGAAGTGGGCTGGGTGCCTACAGTGTCCCTTTAAGGTCAAATTTAAAGCACAGGTGACTAAGTTTTCTGCATTTTGGCCTTAAATTTGAAATTCACTTTGAATTCCCAACAATTCTCACTTATGAGAATAACCATGTAAATATCCCTCTGGAAGAGTAACAGGATTGTTATATTGAGTATTTACTAAACATTTTTAAGCTTGGCTGAAATCTCATTGCCAGCAAAATAAACATACACACCACAGTTGCCTTACAAAGGTGTCAGCTTTCCATTCTGCTCTTTTTGCAACTGTCTCCCTTTTATATAAGTTACATAATTAACAAGTGTTTGCCTCTAATAATCAGCAGCAGGTATGTTGAGTACAAAGAGAAAACCCAGACAGATTTTCTCACCTGTAGCTCTATGCTAGCGCTAAACACCTGAGTGGAACACTGACTCAAATAGGCAAATACAACAGGGAAAAATGTATCAGAGTGCCCAGTTATGAAAAGTGGTGCAACATTCTAATGGGCAAACTACATGGAAACAGACATTTCGCCTATGATTACTCCATCCAGACAGAACCCTTTATGTCGTCTCCAGAACTCCTTAGTTACATTATTTTTCCCACAATACACAGGACACCGTTATTTATCTTTTAAAATAAATGATATTCTTTGGATTAGTATTAACCCTCAGTCCTAAACATGTTTCAGTGCTTCCCAAAATTAACAAGAGTTAAAGTCCCATGCGGCAGGTTTTATATCTGCTCCCATTAATTCAGCAAGGGAGAATGATAAACTAAACTGGCAGCAGCTGTTAATCAAGAGTGTAGCTCAAACAAATCTCAGGCAGTTGGGGACATGAATGTCAAGATTAGGGCTACTGAACTGCATTAAGATGGGAATTCATTACCGGGAATAACTGCACAGAAGACGTCACCATCCATGGCATTTGTCCACAGTATTATGTATAATAAATATTATTTTATAAGGGTAAAGAGCGATACTTCAAAGTAAATGTATTTGCACTTATTTTGAAAGTACATCACATTAAAAACTGAAATGTGATTGTGCCAATTTGACTTTGGTTTATTGTTAACCGAGAACTTGGATCCTCCTTAAACAGCTATTTCACTTTGTAACAATTAGTATTGATTCACCTCTTTGATCTCTAACATTGACTCATTCTGTCATTAATAACAGGATGATGCTGTACCATAGCTGGAATAAATTCAGTCAAGCACCAACATTTTTCAGGGTCCTACTATAACCTGCCAGGTAATTGCAGATTATCCTAGCTTTTAGTAAAAAGATAATCCTAACTTTAATATTAACAAACAAAACACATACTACTTAAAGGGCTCAAAATTTCCACTTGCCATTGATTGAGTGGAAATTTAACATTGAAAAGTGTGCCATGGTACTTGTGAGTTGCTTCAATACGGTTTGCATTTCCTGTTTCCTCCTCTTCTACTGCCCTACAGGCAGTCAGTGTGCTCCTGGGGGTGCAAATGGCTTCATGTTACCCCATGACTACAATGGAGTGTGCACCAGCAATTTAAACCTATGCAGAGAGTTTAGAAAATTGCCAGGCAGCCACCAGCTCTTACCCTACACAGCCACCACAACTTGGAAGGAGTATCTGAATGTCTGCAATGAACATCCCTTAGGCCTCCCAGACAGGCTGACATTGTAAAGGAACATTTGATGCACCATAACCTTGACAGTGTGCTTTAGTAGTTATGGTGCCAGCATTTTCCTAGCCCTGGTGTTTTAAAAAGACTCTTATTACTTACAATATGAGGGTGGGGGTGGGGTTTGAAATGTTCCTTTAAAAGAGGAGAGAGAACTAGAGTAACTTCTTATCGCTTCCAAGATGCGCAGGGATAAAATAAAACATAAAACGTGTTAAACATAGAGACATAATGTATTACCCCCTTAAGAGCACTGTGATTAACATTAAAGGAACACTATAGTCACCCAGACCACTTCATCTCAATGAAGTGTTACGGGTGCAGTGATCCTGTCATTTTAAGCCTGCTATATAAAACATTGGGTAAAATCCACCTCTAGATGCTGTCTTCCTGATAGCCACTAGATGTGCTTCTGTACACTGAAAAACTTAGCCTGGGAATAAAATGCTGCTAATTCTTTATTAGAAGAAATGGATGGGAGGAGATTTGGAAGAAATCAGTAGGCATGCTGATGTCTTTAAAGATGGAATGGGCAGCTGTAGCAGAGAAGTCCTAGTATTGGAGGCAAGGTAAGTAATCTTTTTTAAATTATAATTTTGTGCAGCAAAGCAGGGTGGACATAAGGGAACCTATAGGTCCATATGAATGATTGATCTTTTCAATATGAAGCAGTTTTGGTGTATAGATCATGCCCCTGCAGTCTCACTACTCGATTTTCTGCCATTTAGGGGTTAAATCACTTTGTTTATTCAACCCTAGTTACACCTCCCTGCATGTGACTTACACAGCCTTCCTAAACACTTCCTCTCAATGAAGTGTTACGGGTGCAGTGATCCTGTCATTTTAAGCCTGCTATATAAAACATTGGGTAAAATCCACCTCTAGATGCTGTCTTCCTGATAGCCACTAGATGTGCTTCTGTACACTGAAAAACTTAGCCTGGGAATAAAATGCTGCTAATTCTTTATTAGAAGAAATGGATGGGAGGAGATTTGGAAGAAATCAGTAGGCACGCTGATGTCTTTAAAGATGGAATGGGCAGCTGTAGCAGAGAAGTCCTAGTATTGGAGGCAAGGTAAGTAATCTTTTTTTAAATTATAATTTTTATATTTCCTTTATTGCAAATTCTGTGTAATTTAGAATGCCTTATCTCCTGCTCTGTTAATAGCTTGCTAGACCCTGCAGGAGTCTCCTGTATGTGATTAAAGTTAAATTTACAGAGCAGGAAGATACAAACTTCTAAAGTAAGTTAGATGTGATTGAAAATGAAACCATTTTGCTTTCATGCAGACTGTGTCAGTCACAGCAGGGGAGGTGTAGCTGCACGAAAAGAAACAAAAGTAGTCTAACTCCTAAATGGTAGAGAATTGAGCAGTGAAACTTTAGAGCTTCATTAAGCTAGAGTTGTCTGGGTGACTATATTGTCCTTTTAAGGTTATAGAGCGGTAAAATGTAAACCTCAATGATGCAAAATCCTAAACGTACCAATAGACGTGGAGTGGGAAACAAATAACATAATAAACAATATTAAATAAAAAAAGTGAAGTTAAAAATAAAAAAAATAATATTGCTGGAATAGACAGGAAAAGAGCTGCCCCGAAATGAAGGGGGCTACAGTCTGCTAAGCGGTGAATATGAATGTTTTCAAAATGGCAGAAAAGAGAAACAGAAAATAATAGGAAAGTGTAAGAGCAGATAAAAAATACCAGTTAAAAAATGTATATAAAAATACCAGTTAAAAAATTACAGTAAAAAAATGTTTATCAGCAGATACAAGTAGCAACTAATGAAAATAACAGCACAGTCTGTGGATCAAAGTCTATATAAGCCAAAGTAGCAATGAATGCAGCAAGTATGTATCAGCTACCAAGATGAAGGACTCCTGTTACCAAATAGCAGGAGCTAAAATCATCTGATGCTGGTATTATATTATAGGACCTATATCAGCAAAGTGGTGAGAATAGGTACAAAATCTTCTTATAGGTGCATAAACCGGTCTCTTGTGTTGTAAGATGTCTTGGAATCTAAAAGAACAGAGACATGGTGTTCTCCGTATACCCTTTATTAATTTTTAGCACACGGTTAAAAACACTTACAAACACGCCGGAATATCAGGCATATAATTTCGGGGCAGCTTTTTTCCTGTCTATTCCCTCAATATTATTATTAATATTATTGTTTTGTTTTTTTACTTCAATTTTATTTAATATATTTTTTTAAAATATTGTTTGTTATTTGTTTCACACTCCACGCCTCCTGGTACGTTTAGGATTTTGTATCCTTGGGGTAACCTAAGAAGCCCAGATATAAATTCTTGGTGGTGGCAGTAAAGTGTGTAGTAGGGTGTTAGTGTAGAAGGGATTGCAGGGGTTAATTTAGTGGTTGCTGGGACTAGCAACAGGTAAACAGGGGTCTGGTGTCATTAACCCCTTAATGACACAACTTCTGGAATAAAAGGGAATCATGACGGAATAGTTCTGTCATGTGTCCTTAAGGGGTTAACCCTTTCACTTCCACACTCTCCCCACTGTCTCAGCTGGGCTAATAGCCCACGTTCGTGACAGTAGGAGGGTCATTCACTGGCAGATCCAGAGTCTTATCTCGGGAGGGGCACTCAAATTATTTAAAGAAACAATCCAGGCACAATAACCACTACAGCTCTATGTAGTGGATATGGTGCCAGGAGTGCCGTGGCGCCCTCCCAGAGTAAATAGTCAAACGGTTTAAGAACAGTTTGACAATTTACCTAGGTTCTGCCAGGACAGGGGCTGTAGCAGAGGAGATAGAGCCTCTACTACTGTGTGTGAAGGAAGCACTGTGTGTATGGGGCCAGTGTGTGTATGAAGGTGTAGTGCGGGCAGTGTGTGTATGGGAGTGCAGTTGGGGGAATTGTGTGTATTGGGGTGCAGTGTTTTGTGTGTTGGAGCACTGTGTGTATGTGGGTGCAGTGTGTGTGTGTGTGTGTGAGGGTGTAATGTTTTTGTGGGGGAGAAGTGTGTGTGTGTGTGTGGGTGCAGTGTTTGTATGGGGAGCACTGTGTGTATGGAGAAGTGTGTTTGTATGTGGAGGAGAAGTGTGTGTGTGTGTATGGGGGGCTGTGGGGGCAGTGTGTTTGTGGGGGCAGTGTGTTTGTGGGGGCAGTGTGTTTGTGGGGGCAGTGTGTTTGGTGGGGCAGTGTAAAACAAATGTGTTTTTTTTTTTTTTTTAATTAATAAAATATTATTTATAATTCCCCCCTCCCTTCCTACCTTTGCCTGGGAGGGGGGATATCGCTTGTAATCCCTGGTGGTCCGGTGGAATCCCTGGCGGTTCTAGTGGGGAGTGAACTCTAGCCTGCACCTCCTGAGGCTAGAGTTCACTCTCGCGAGAACGGAGCATTGCCGTGGTAACCGCGGCAATGCTCCGTTCTCGCGAGAGGAGACCCGGCGGAGCTGCAGGCTAGAGTTCCTCCCGGGTCTCCTCTCTCCGTGCTCCTATCTCTGATCTCCCCTCCGGTCTGTGAAGGCACTTAGCAGGGCCGGCGCTTGGACAGCACTGGCCATGCAGGAGAGAGCATCGGCTCTCGGGGGGGGCAATTGCTCCATTGCGCCCCCCCTCACCCCCCCGGATCCGCCACTGGGGTCATTTAATGATGGTAAGGGAGAGTATGCTGCTGTCCTGTCGACTTCCAGCAGTCACATTGCAGAAGGAGATGCCAAGAGTCCCATGGCGATATCACACTATTTAAGCAGCTAAGTCACTTTTAAAATTGTATTTCTTTTTATTTACGATATTCTACAAGTCCCCCCTGTGCAGCCTGTTGTGTTATCAGTTTACTGTGTTGATTTTCGCAAGATCCCAAGAGTTGACACAGTTTCAAAGAAGCTGGAGGTCCTCAGCAGGCACCAGTGGCTGTAATCTGAGAAACGCTGGTGATAGAAAGATGGTGATACTGTGAATTAAGACCTTGCAAGACAAGCACAACTTGACCCAGGTAAGTGTCAAACTGCAAACACTTAAATGGTGCTACGGGATTGCTAGCATTATAATTAGCAGGCTATATATAGAGTCTCCCTTTAAGTAGCATCACCTTAAAAAATTACCCTTTAACTCTTATTTCAGAAAATTTTAAAATCTAAACTGATCTTCTAATTTCACAAAAACAAGAGCTTATAATCTTATCCTGTGTTCCACGCAAGGTATGGGCAGTCTGCGTAAACCACCATGCCTTTTGTGTTATGGAGTAACTCCTTAGTGTTTCAACATTTTGTAAATAATATCTTCCGGATATACTAGACAACTGTCAGCATTTGTCTTGACGACATTAATTTTCTCTAAAAATATTCAACAACAACATCAACATGTCTTAACAGTGTTTAACAGATTACAACAGAATTCACTATATGCCAAAATATTTTTCAAGTCTTGGGTTTCTTAAATATATTCTTAATCCTGAGAAAATTGGCACTTTACCAAAAATGCTCCCAATTATTTTCCAGTGGGACTAACTGAAAGACAAAAAAAAAATATCTCCAAATATTCATGGCTTTACACATTTGTACTGTAAAATGTTATATAAATATTATTGACCAGTAGCACAAGTTACAGAAGAATTAAAAGGAACACACCAAATACCACAACTACTACTATGAGCTGTAGAAGTCATGCTGCCAGGAATCCCCTACAGCCCCCTCCTCACATTAAATGGAAACTCCGGGCACCCAGACCACTTCTGCCCATTGTAGCGGTCTGGGTGCCAATTCCCATCACCCTTAACCCTGCAAGTGTAATTATTGCAGTTTTTACAAACTGCAATAATTACCTTGCAGGGTTAAATCTCCTCTAGTGGCTGTCTATCAGACGAAAAGTGTTTTAAATTATACTGGACGTCCTCACGTTATGCATAAGGACCTCCAGCATCACCGGAATCCCCAGGGAGGTCTAACGTGCGTGCCAGTGGCAGATCTGGGGGAGAGGGGTGGGGGCGCAATGGGGCAATTTACTGGGCAGCCGGCACGGAGAGAGGAGACCCGGGAGAAACTCTAGCCCGGAGCTCCGCCGGGTCTTCTCTCGCGAGAGTGAACTCTAGCTTCAGGAGGTGCACGCTAGAGTTCACTCCCCACTAGAACCGCCAGGGATTCCACCGGACCACCAGGGATTACAAGCGATATCCCCCCTCCCAGGCAAAGGTAGGAAGGGAGGGAGATTAGAAATAATATTTTATTAATTAAAAAAAAAAAAAAAATTGTTTTACACGGCCCCCCATACACACTGCCCTACCAAACACACTTCTCCACACACACTTCTCCCCATACAAACACTGCACCCCCACACACTCCCTGTCACAGGTGCCTCATCCCAGGGCCCTATTTAGCCTTGTACTGCAGAGAGCCCCAGATGGAATTTTTTCCTCAAGTAAGTAGGTTAATCTCATAAGAGCAGACATTAGGCTGTTGGTGTAGGACCTGCCAAAGATGGGGTACATTGACGTTGTGGCAGGCTTATGCAATGCATGATCATATAATGTAACTAAACCCCCATTATTTTTGCCTTGATTAGGTGTTTTTTAAAAAACTAATAAAATCTTTCAACATTGAAGTTGCTGTTTAGTGGATAGGCGAGTGCGCTGGATCTTGTGTATTGTATTATTTGGCCCCCAGCAGCACCCCCATTTATGCATGTTCAGGTGAGTGCAGCTAACCCCCCTTGTTATATATATATATATATATATATATATATATATATATATATATATATATATATATATATATATATATTTGGGAGTCTAGCCAACTCCTTGGTTTTGCACCCCTCCCTGTCACAGGTGCCTCATCCCAGGGCCATATTTAGCCTTGTACTGCAGAGAGCCCCAGATGGAATTTTTTCCTCAAGTAAGTAGGTTAATCTCATAAGAGCAGACATTAGGCTGTTAGTGTAGGACCTGCCAAAGATGGGGTACATTGACGTTGTGGAAGGCTTAGTGGATAGGTGAGTGCGCTGGATCCATTCGTTATTGTCCATTATCGTTAGTTATCATCGGGGCCTTTACTTTGTATTAGTGGTTTTGTGGCGTGTGTTGGTGCCTGTTCCACCTTTCCCACGCCACCCTCCAGTATGCCTGTGGGGATCTATGCACTCTAGCCGCCATTTCATACTTTTTTGTATCTTCAATTTGTTGAATGCATTAATTTATGTGCGGAGGTTTTGTTTGTAACCATTTTCTGCTTATACTTGTTAGTGCGGCGGAAGTAATATGGTATATTAAGTATCTGTCAGCTGTTTTAATGCTAGTTGGTAGGCACTGGAGGATGTAGTGTTCAGGTGCTTGTGGTAGGTTAGTCTTGGTCACCTTTTGTATTAGGGAGTGTATGTCTGTCCACAGTTTCCCCAGATCTGGGCATGTCCACCACATGTGCAGCATTGTTCCTGGGTGTTTGTTGCATCTCCAACAAATCCCTGAATGTGCCGGTGTGATATGTTTCATTCGTGTAGGAACCAAGTACCAGCGGTATAGTATTTTCCTACTTATTTCCAAATGGGACGTGTGCAGTGTTAGGGTGTTTGCGCAGAATATGTATGCCCCTTGGTTGTCCATTAGTCTCTTGCCCAATTCTGTTTCCCACGCTTGGGCAAATGTAAGGTCATGTGGGGAGTTTGTTAGATTGTATATCTTATAATGGATGTGAAGGCTGTTTGTTCTGTAGGCACATCTGTTCTAGGGCTGTAAGGTTCGTCCACCTGTCTTTTGAGGGAAGTAAAAGTTTGTGTTTTCCCAGCCAAGAGCCAATCTGCCTATGTGTGAATTCTGCTGAGTTAGGGAGTTTGTATTCCCTTTGCAGCTGGTTAAATGGTATAAGTTTGTGTTGGTCATATAGGTGTCTCAAACCTGTCGTGTTCCAAGTGACGATGTTCACAAAGGGTATGAGTTCTGTGAAGGAAGAAAGTGGCATTGCAGGTGACAGTGTTCGTTTTATGTATTTTGTGATGTCTGTCCCATTCTCTCAGTGTTGTCGCGGTTGTAGGAGCCATGTGTATGTGTTTTCTCCTGTGTTGTGGCATTAGCCAGGCAAGAGAAGTAATGTGTTGTCCGTCTGCATTTGCCACCTCAATGTCTAACCATGAGTTTGGTGTCGAGGATTGGTGTAACGTTGTTATGAGTTGGCTCATGATGGACGCTCTATAATACGTGGTGAGGTGTGGTAGGCCCATGCCCCCCAATTTCTATGGTAGGTACATAATGTTTGCCGTTGTCCCTGGCTTTTTGGGTGCCCAAATAAATGTGTTAATCACTTTCTGAGCTATCTTGAGGAATGTTTGGGGTAGTTTAATTTGTAATGTGCGGAATAAGTATTGCAGTTTTGGCAATATTAACATTTTTACTGCAGCAATTTTTCCCATCCATGAGACAAATTTCCCTTTCCATCCCATCATCTGTTGTTTTATAGAGTTGAGGGTTTTGATGTAGTTGTCTCTGAGCAGGCGGTGTTCTTGTTTTGTGAAATTGATTCCCAGGAATGTAACTCTGTCCTTCCATTCATATTTGTGTGTCTGTTTCAGAACTGCTGTTGTGTGTGGTGATGGTGTGTATAGACACATGGTTTTTGTGGTGTTCAATTTATAGTATGAGCAATCACTATATTGTTTCACAGTGGTTTGGAGAGCCGGGATAGAAACTATTGGGTCAGTAAACGAGAGCATGACATCATCAGCAAACATGGTAATTTTGTATTCTTTGTCTGCTATACGTACCCCTTTAATAATTATGTTGTCCCTGATGGATTGTGCTAGTGGTTCAAGGGCGAGGATATAGAGTATTGGGGATAGTGGGCATCCTTGACGGGTGCCGTTTGTGATTTCAAAGGGTTGGGACACAAAGCCTCCGTTCATTATTTGGGCAGCAGGTGTAGAGTAAAGTGCTGAGATTAGGCCTTGAAATGCGGGTGGGAAGTCAAATTTTTCAGGACTGCTCGGAGGAAATTCCAGTGCAACCTGTCAAAAGCCTTTTAGGCATCTAATGACAAACACTCTGGGTTTTTCGTGGGCCTTTTTACCATAAAGCAGGCTGTGAAGTTTTCTTGTGCCCTCTGCCCCCTGTCTCCCCTTCACAAATCCCACTTGGTCTGGGTGTATGAGGGAAGGTATGATGGTCGCTACTCCTAGTAGTGTATATTTTTGCGAGGTTTTTTGTGTGTCAGTATTTAGTAGGGAGATGGGGCGTAGATTTTTTGGCTGATTGGGAGTCTTCCCCGGTTTTGCTAATGTGGCTATGTGCGCGAGTAACATCTCTGGTGGCATGTTTCCCGATTGTACTATGTTATTTAGTGCTGTGACTAGGTGCGGGGCTAGAGTGTTGTGCAATGTTTTATAATATTCGTTGGTGAAACCATCTGGGCCCGGTGATTTCCCTGATGGTAGTGATCGTATTGTCTGCATCAGTTCTTGTAGTGTGATTGGTTTTTGTAGACTTTTTTTATGCAATTGCGTGAGTTGGTAGTCTTATGTTGGCGAGGAAGTTTTGTATTTCAGTGTGATTGGGTTGGTGTGTCTATCGTCCCGCAGGTTATAAAGACTTTTGTAGTAGTTAGCAATCATTGTGTTAATTTTTTCGGGGGTCGTATATTTTCCCTCTTGCGTTATTGAGTATGTATGGGATTTTTGATTTTGCTTGTTTCTGCCTCAGCATTGACTCTAGCGCTTTGCTAGCTCTGGTACCCTGTGTGAAATGCCATAATTTGAGTTTGTGGAGGTTCTGGGCAGTTTTGTGGAGCAGCAGGTCATTGATTTGTTTAGTAGTATGTGCTTTTTCTATTAGTCTTTCGTCTTTGGATTTTATTGTTAGTTACTGAGATCTCGAAGCTCTGTCAATAATTGTAGATATTTCTTTTGTGTGCTCCGTTTTATATACGCTGCTTTGCTTATAAGTATTCTTCTAGTTACTGCCTTGTGGGCTTGCCATAGTGTGGTGGGCAGGAGCTCCTAATTTTGATTTGCCTGGAAATAGTCATTTATGTCTGTTTTTCTAATTTAGTGTTAAAGTCTGCATCAGTCAGTAATGTGTTGTTCAATCGCCAGGGGGGTTTCCCTCTGTGGTTGTAGGCGTCGTGGGTTGTGAGTGTTACTGGGGCATGATCTGACCACACGATGTCCCCCAACTGACATTTGGTCACCTGTGAGATCATATCATGTGACACCAGAATGCAATCTATTCTAGAATGCGTTTTGTGAATCGCTGAGTAGAATGAATACCCTCTCATGTTTGGTTGAAGGGTACGCCAGATGTCGTATAGGCCATAATCTGAAATAAGTTTAGTGAGGGCCTTGCATTGTGAGTTTAGTGCTTTGGATCTTGGAGTGGATGTAGTCGCTGTCGTGTCCATATGTGGGTGTAGTACATGATTCAGATCTCCACATATTATTAAGGAAGTCGTGTTATGGTGGGGAATTTTGTTCAGTACCTTGTGTAGAAAGTTGCGTTGGTTGGTGTTTGGACTGTATATACCCACTAAGGTATATAATGCGTTGTTGATATTGCAGTGCAGTATGAGGTAGCGGCCCTGGGGGTCTTTTTTTAATCTGTAAAAGGTTAGTAATTTATGGAACAGGAAAGAGACACCTCTTGGTTTAGAGGAGTAAGTGGTGTGATATTGGGTTGTATATTCCGGTTTCCCAAACTCTGGGACCCTGCAGTGTGCAAAGTGTGTTTCTTGGAGACAAAGAATGTCTGCGCTGTCCTGTTTAGCACCTGCTAGGAGAGTCCTGCGATTGTGTGGGGTATTTAATCCCCTAACGTTATGTGATTGTATTTTCATATGTTGTTAGTTTTGGGGGAGCATCAGTTGTGGTTACATCTGTGTATTTGTTTCGCAGTTTATGGTGCCTTTTTTTCGAGGTGTGGAGTAGGTTGGTTTGATTGGGTGACCTTGTCATTGTTTCTCTCGCCTTGTACAGTGAACCTGGGTTGGGTCGGTGACACTTTGGTGGAGTTTTCTGCGAATGGGAGAAGGGAAATTAAACTGGGGGTAAACATGAACTAGATATTTACATAACCTTTGGTCGTAAGGCATGGTACTCCTATAGGTACCGTGGAGGTGGAAACTTCTGTGTTTCCTTAACCCCTTAAGGACACATGACATGTCTGACATGCCATGATTCCCTTTTATTCCAGAAGTTTGGTCCTTAAGGGGTTAAGGTGGCTTCGGGTCTAAATGATACTCTATATAATAGATGTTTCATCCTGAGTCAGTGCTGTGGGTTGAACATTGGCATACATTGAGTACATATCATAGGTGTTGCAGATGTTCTCTAACTTAAAATATTATACATTACATTTTTGTAACTTGTATATCTTAGATATTGAAGAATTTTTTTTTTTTTTACCATATCACATTCTACATTACCTATGCATAACTTGTGGTATAAAAAAGAAAATCTTAAGTCTAAAGCTTATTATACCTTATGTATTTATACCTTGTATATCCTAGGTGTTAAAGACAATCTCTAACATAGCATATTATACATTACATATTTATAACTTGTGGTGTAGGAAACTTTAGATCTAAAACTTATGCTTTGTGTCAGCTGTGCAGCACTCTAGGCATTGTACGTTTGTGAGTGCCATGGGCTTCTTAGACACTGCGCTAGTGCTATAGTATGCCTGACTGTCCAAATATCCCAATAATCTCCCTCCAATGGTCTAATTGCCCTGGCGTGTCACACAGACAACATCTATTAACTCATATTTATCAACTGTATAATGCAACATTTATTTTTATTTATTTTTTAATTGAGTCAGTACATCAGCTCTTTGGTGGCTATCCCATTTCCTGGGGAGGTATGGTGTATTAGTTACTTGACTGTTCATACAGTTGCACTTAGCATATTTATGTTGCGTAAGATGCAGGTTGCTTTGGGTCATAAGATGGGAGAGTGGAAATTAATTAGCAGTAATAACCCTTAGCAGGTAGTTTACATTGTCTAACAAAAAAAGAAAATCTATACCACACCAAGAAGTGACAGTATACGATTTTTGTAAGGAACAAACAAAGGTATCCTCTTTCAGTGATATTCAGACGACTTCTCTGTTTGCGCATAATATGATTTCTCAGCTGTGCGTCAGCATCCCTCCTCTCCCTCCTCAATTCCCCTCCCCACTTTTTTTTCCATTTTTATTTTTATTTTTTAACCTTCTTTATAGCAATGCCCAGTAGGAAGGCTGAGCTAGGTATCCCACTTACTATTACTTACTATAGCCCACTATAACAGACAGACACACATACATACAGACACACACATACCAAGGACACACACATAAGACATACATACAAAGACACACACATACAGACACAAGATACACATACAAAGACACACACAACACATATACAGACACACAAGACATACATACAAAGATACATACACATATATACAGACAGACTCACACATACATACATACAGACAGACACACACAAGACATACATACAAAGACACATAAACAAACACACAAAATGTGGTCACGGGGTCCAGTGGTGGCTCAGGTGGATGGGAGTCAGAATTCCCACTCTGACTCCCTCCTCCTTCCTCCCGCGCGGTCTGTGTGTTAGCTGGGAGGAGTGACGTGCAGTCACTTCCTCCCAGCTCTGTGATGTAATCACAGGAGGCCCGGTCGCACTGTTAAGGCGCCCAGCGCTGACCGAGGCCCCCTCACAATCCACATCCATCAGATGGCCCTGACAGCATGGGCCACCCGATGGACTCCTCCATGTGCGGCCCAGGCGGCTCTCACCCGCCCACCCACCTAATCTCTCAAAATTAGAAAATCCCTACCGCCCACCTGGAATCCTGAAATGCCCACTATTGGGCGGTAGGGACCAGGTTGACGACCCACGCTTTAGATCATTAGGTGGAAGAGTAGAAAATAGATTAACAATAATAACCCTTAGCAGGTAATTTACATTGGCTCTTACTATGGGAAAGTTTAACCATATGTGATTAATATACAGGTTGCTTTAAAAAATATAATAAGAAGATAAAAAACAGATTAATATTAATAACGTTTAGCAAGTATTATACATGGAGATCAGTCCATGCTGTGTGCAGTTACAACATGCTTGCTTTTGTTTTATACTTGCAGTCTTTCAGTGAGGTTTTTTCGTGAGGGTAGCTCTGCTCCCTTCAAGCTGCAAATGACAAGGTGGTGAAGCCTGCGGTTCCGGTTCTTTTTCTGTGAGTCACCAGAGCCGCAATTTTCTTATCCCGTCCTCCGGTGATGTGATAACTTGTGTGGATCCGTCTTTTGTTAACAGCATTTTTGTTGGGAAACCCCAGCGGAATCTGATGCCGTTGGACCGCAATGTGTTGGCTATTTGTGAGAAGTCTTTCCTCCTGTGGAGGCCAAAAGATCCGCGAATATTTTAATCTCTGGGAAGTCTGCCGGCAGTTTCACTTTGTTGCTGCTCACTCGCAATATGTGCTCTTTTCTATGATATTAATGAATGCGCATCAAGACATCTCGGGGTGCTGTTACAGGCAAGAATCTAGGCCTTGGAAGCCGATGCACTCTATCTATGAATAACATATCTGCTGGTATCTCTGGGACATATGCATGAAGGAGACCTCTAACATGGGTTTGTAGGTTTTCTGGTAGTATTGATTCTGGTATCCCTCTGAGGCGCAAATTATTTCTGCGCGCCCTATCCTCCAGGTCAGTTAGTTTCAGTTCAGTAGTGGTGAGCTTTCGTTTGATCTGTTCCACGTGTGTGGCCAGATCGTTATATGTCTAGGCAAAGTCCTCCATTTTAGATTCAACATGTGATGTCCTTTTACCCAGTTCTTGAACATCTTTCCTTAATGAGTCCATTAAATGCTGCCAAGTTGTAATCCACTTCTGTGACAGTGCATCCAGTGCCAGCTGTAGGTGACTTTTTGTGAGCTTGTCAGGGTCTGAATCTATTTCCGTCGGAGTGGGGCACTCTGTGCCGTCTGAGCTGGCGCCTCCATCTTGAGAGAAGGCCCGAATCTCCGTCTGATCGTTTTGTGATTTATTCCCAAAAAAGTTAAGTTTTACTGCCTTTGTGGCGTTCTTCTTCCCCCTTTTGTTGTGCCATGTCGCCTTTGTTGTCTTTATATGTGGTCAGATTGTCAGGATGGCATCAGATTGTGACACTGTGAGCCAGAGCTAAAGGATTAGGCATCCATTGCTCTAGGCAGTTAGCCACGCCCCCCAAAATTGAGGTTTTACCATTGTTTACAGTCACAAATACCTTGAAGTAGAGTCTGTTTCTGCAATTACTAAAGCAGACAGTATTTTAAAGACAATTTGCGTATTACTCATCTCAATGTAGGCAATTTGATCAGATTTATCCACCCCAACCCCTCCTAAATATCCTGGTGTTAAAAGGACTATTTATTTTGCAAATTACTATTTTGGTTGTCTAACATGAATTAGTGGGGATATTGCCTGCTTGTGAAACTACAGTAATGGTTATTGTTGATTGATTATTCCATTCATTTCCACAAAATATTAACCACTTGGAAAACCACAAATCTTTTGAAGAGAAATATGCAAAGTGCCCATAATAAAATGTCACTTATCTTAATTATTCATAATTGTACAGACAAATTGAAATAATAAACAGCACACATGAAAAATATCTGAGACTTCATTTCAACTATCAGGAAAACTTTGTCCCAAAAGCTTTAATTAGCTGAATTCAGTTACAATAATGCCATTTGTTCATACTCCAACTATGGATATCATCCAAAGTTAATCACCTCTTAAACACACATTCCATATCTGGATAACCACCTAAAGTTACAAAGAAATCAAATTTAAAAATTACTATTCTCAATGAACTTATCACTAAAGCTCAAGAATGTTACAAGAGATACTATAATCCACATAGAAAAATTAGATCTCAATGTACATTTGGATGTACATTTTCTATAGGAAAGCATTGGATTGGGTAAGATCTCCAAGGAGGCAGGAAGGGTGCAGAGCCAACGCAGGTGTGGGAATAAAGGTGAGTTTGTATCCTATGTAAGGGAGGCAAGGGTGGACGGCCACATAAAAAATTTTTTTATAGGGTCAGGAATATACATTTCTATTCCTGACCCTCTAGTTTTCCTTTAACTCCAAATGCCATGACCATTTAAGTGATTTACTTTTGTTTACGTTTATGCAGCCCTAGTCACATCACCCCTGCATGAAATCAAAATGGTTTCATTTCAATCATATATTTACTTGGTTTTAAAATGTTTATCTCCTGCTTTATTAATTGAACTTTAACCCCTTAAGGACACAAGCAGTTTTTGCATTTTTTGCTGTTTGTGTTCAACTGCAATTTGCATCTTATTATATACTTATTTTGCACATATTATATACTGGTTTATAGACTATAAAAAGGGCTTTAATTTGATGTGACATATACATAAATAAAATCATTATTACAAAACAAATGCAAAATAATAATGGGGGGAGGGGAAATATTGTTTGCCAGGTTTTGCCAATAATAATGTGTGCATAATATGTCCAGCTTAAAAGTAATTTAAAAATCAATTCATTTATGTGTCTTGATTTACAAAGTATATAATATGTATAGGATTTCAGTTTATTTTGAAAGCTACACGTCACAAACTACAAGGCCTAAAATGAAATTTCAATGTGAAACAATTTTAGAAGTAGGTATGTTTGTCTTGGAAGTTTAATACCCATCACAGAAAACAAAATTGCCACACAAAAGTAAATATTTATATAAAGTAGACATCACAGGCTATTTACCTAAGGTTATTTTGACATTTTTTTAAGTAGCCATTTAACTGCCAATCTCTGCTAAATATTGGAGTCAAATTGTGCTTTATTTCTCTATTTTGGCATATACACATACAGTTGCAAGAAAAAGTATGTGAACCCTTTGGAATGATATGGATTTCTGCACAAATTGGTCATAACATGTGATCTGATCATCATCTAAGTCACAACAATAAACAATCACAGTCTGCTTAAACTAATAACACACAAATACTGAAATGTTGCCATGTTTTTATTGAACACACCATGTAAACATTCACAGTGCAGGTGAAAAAGGAAGTGAACCCCTAGACTAATGACATCTCTAAGGGCTAATTGGAGTGAGATGTCAGCCAACTGGAGTCCAATCACTGAGATGAGATTGAAGGTGTTGGTTACAGCTGTCCTGCCCTATTAAAAAAAAACAAAACAAAAAAAAACACACACACCAGTTCTGGGTTTGCTTTTCACAAGAAGCAATGCCTGATGTGAATGATGCCTCACACAAAAGAGCTCTCAGAAGACCTACGATTAAGAATTGTTGACTTGCATAAAGCTGGAAAGGGTTATAAAAGTACAGGGAGTGCAGAATTATTAGGCAAATGAGTATTTTGACCACATCATCCTCTTTATGCATGTTGTCTTACTCCAAGCTGTATAGGCTCGAAAGCCTACTACCAATTAAGCATATTAGGTGATGTGCATCTCTGTAATGAGAAGGGGTGTGGTCTAATAACATCAACACCCTATATCAGGTGTGCATAATTATTAGGCAACTTCCTTTCCTTTGGCAAAATGGGTCAAAAGAAGGACTTGACAGGCTCAGAAAAGTCAAAAATAGTGAGATATCTTGCAGAGGGATGCAGCACTCTTAAAATTGCAAAGCTTCTGAAGCGTGATCATCGAACAATCAAGCGTTTCATTCAAAATAGTCAACAGGGTCGCAAGAAGCGTGTGGAAAAACCAAGGCGCAAAATAACTGCCCATGAACTGAGAAAAGTCAAGCGTGCAGCTGCCACGATGCCACTTGCCACCAGTTTGGCCATATTTCAGAGCTGCAACATCACTGGAGTGCCCAAAAGCACAAGGTGTGCAATACTCAGAGACATGGCCAAGGTAAGAAAGGCTGAAAGACGACCACCACTGAACAAGACACACAAGCTGAAACGTCAAGACTGGGCCAAGAAATATCTCAAGACTGATTTTTCTAAGGTTTTATGGACTGATGAAATGAGAGTGAGTCTTGATGGGCCAGATGGATGGGCCCGTGGCTGGATTGGTAAAGGGCAGAGAGCTCCAGTCGACTCAGACGCCAGCAAGGTGGAGGTGGAGTACTGGTTTGGGCTGGTATCATCAAAGATGAGCTTGTGGGGCCTTTTCGGGTTGAGGATGGAGTCAAGCTCACCTCCCAGTCCTACTGCCAGTTCCTGGAAGACACCTTCTTCAAGCAGTGGTACAGGAAGAAGTCTGCATCCTTCAAGAAAAACATGATTTTCATGCAGGACAATGCTCCATCACACGCGTCCAAGTACTCCACAGCGTGGCTGGCAAGAAAGGGTATAAAAGAAGAAAATCTAATGACATGGCCTCCTTGTTCACCTGATCTGAACCCCATTGAGAACCTGTGGTCCATCATCAAATGTGAGATTTACAAGGAGGGAAAACAGTACACCTCTCTGAACAGTGTCTGGGAGGCTGTGGTTGCTGCTGCACGCAATGTTGATGGTGAACAGATCAAAACACTGACAGAATCCATGGATGGCAGGCTTTTGAGTGTCCTTGCAAAGAAAGGTGGCTATATTGGTCACTGATTTGTTTTTGTTTTGTTTTTGAATGTCAGAAATGTATATTTGTGAATGTTGAGATGTTATATTGGTTTCACTGGTAATAATAAATAATTGAAATGGGTATATATTTGTTTTTTGTTAAGTTGCCTAATAATTATGCACAGTAATAGTCACCTGCACACACAGATATCCCCCTAACATAGCTAAAACTAAAAACAAACTAAAAACTACTTCCAAAAATATTCAGCTTTGATATTAATGAGTTTTTTGGGTTCATTGAGAACATGGTTGTTGTTCAATAATAAAATTAATCCTCAAAAATACAACTTGCCTAATAATTCTGCACTCCCTGTATCTCCAAAAGCCGTATCAGTCCATGGTAAGACAAATTGTCTATAAATGGAGAAAGTTCAGCACTGCTGCTACTCTCCCTAGAAGTGGCCGTCCTGTAAAGATGACTGCAAGAGCACAGCGCAGACTGCTCAATGAGGTGAAGAAGAATCCTAGAGTGTCAGCTAAAGACTTACAAAAGTCACTGGCAAATGCTAACATCCCTGTTAGCGAATCTACAATACGTAAAACACTAAACAAGAATGGATTTCATGGGAGGATACCACAGAGAAAGCCACTGCTGTCCAAACAAAACATTGCTGCACGTTTACAGTTTGCACAAGAGCACCTGGATGTTCCACAGCAGTACTGGCAAAATATTCTGTGGACAGATGAAACCAAAGTTGAGTTGTTTGGAAGAAACACACAACACTATGTGGGCAAAAAAAAAGCACAGCACACCAACATCAAAACCTCATCCCAACTGTGCAGTATGGTGGTGGGGGCGTCATGGTTTTGGGCTGCTTTGCTGCGTCAGGGCCTGGATGGATTGCTATCATCGAAGGAAAAATGAATTCCCAAGTTTATCAAGACATTTTGCAGGATAACTTAAGGCCATCTGTCTACCAGCTGAAGCTCAACAGAAGATGGGTGTTGCAACAGGACAATGACCCAAAGCATAGAAATAAATCAACAACAGAATGGCTTAAACAGAAGAAAATACGACTTCTGAAGTGGCCCAGTCAGAGTCCTGACCTCAACCCGATTGAGATACTGTGGCATGACCTCAAGAAAGCGATTCACACCAGACATCCCAAGAATATTGCTGAACTGAAACAGTTCTGTAAAGAGGAATGGTCAAGAATTACTCCTGACCGTTGTGCACGTCTGATCTGCAACTACAGGAAACGTTTGGTTGAAGTTATTGCTGCCAAAGGAGGTTCAACCAGTTATTAAATCCAAGGGTTTACATACTTTTTCCACCTGCACTGTGAATGTTTACATATTGTTTTCAATAAAAACATGGCAACATTTCATTATTTGTGTGTTATTAGTTTAAGCAGACTGTGATTGTCTATTGTGACTTAGAAGATGATCAGATCACATTTTATGACCAATTTGTGCAGAAATCCATATCATTCCAAAGGGTTCACATACTTTTTCTTGCAACTGTATAACAAGGATTTTCTAATGTGTATTTCATAAAGCCCTGTACAGAAATCCATATTGTGTTTAGCTACATCTGCTGAGTACAACGATACCCCCATTGTATACCTTTGCCCCTATTCTGTGAAGCTAGAATGCCATATAGGAGACCATGCTATTTCAGTTTCTATAGCTGGAATTTTCATAGATGGTCATATGTCTGATTTTGTGGCATTATAGCCATTGGTTATTCAAATAACCCCACAAAGACCTTCCATTTGAGGGTATCTTATTAGGCATATATTATACCTTAACTTGCCACCATTTCTTCACCAATTTATTTCAAATTTTGTGGTGAGAAAACAAAATTAAATTTTTTTTTTTTTACATACATGTTGAATTTTGGCTGGGTATTTCGTACATTTGCCACCGTCACTGCCACATACATTTATGCCACTGTCATAAATTCCCCCTAAGCATGCTCAGTTACCTCTTCTGAGTAAAACAATAAGCCCAATAGACACTATTTTGTGAAGTTACAGTGGTGTAAAAGACGTGACAAGTTCAGGTTTTTAAGTGTGAATTTACATGGAGGGTTTCAATAGGTCCGTATTCTATTTTGAAATATGTTAGTAGGTTGCTTTTTCGAACTACCCCAAAAATGCAAGCGATTTCTAAAAGAAGACACCCGAAGGTATTTCAAAAGGCAAATTTTGAACCTTAGTGTGGGATCATGTTTCCGCTAGCTTGTATCAAGTGTAGTGTTAATAAGCATTCTTTATGCCTATTTGACACACAATGAGTGTGTAATATATATTTTGCAAACCTTATGTGTGCGACAGCAGAATACTACATCATATGTTGATCAGCTATGTCATCTGAGTACAGCAATACCCCCATATGTACCTTTACCAGGTCTATGACAACGTTGAAGGGGCACATTTGAGACACAGCCATTTAACTTAGAATTTTTACGCTGGGTCCATGCCCCACTTTGGTATTTTTTAATAGGTTGTGTTTTCCAATTACTTCACAAAGGCATACCATTTCCTAAAGAAGACACTCCAGGGTGTTTCAAAAGGCATATTTTAAACCTTAGCGTGGTATCATTTTTTCGCTAGACTGTACCAAGTGTAGCGGTAATACGCATTATTTCCCTTTTTTAACTTTTAAAAACGTTCTTTTTAGCTTTTAACAACTTTTTTACTTTTTAAAACTTTATTTAAACTTTTTTCAGAAGTTTTTTTTTACTTTTTACAAGTTTTTTACTATCAAGCGTGATTGTGGCAATCTGGGTTTAATTTTAGTATTGGAAGAAAATTTTCCATCCTGCGTCCTTAAGGGGAGTACTGCAATGACGGAAAATTTCCATCCAGCGTCCTTAAGGGGTTAATCACACACAGGAGCCTCCTGCAGGGTCTAGAGAAGGTTAGTAACAGAGCAGAAGATAAGAAATTCTAAATTAAACAGACTGTGTCATAAAGGAACTTTAAACATTAGATGACTCATTACAGGAATTGTTTAGGAAGGCTGCACGTCACATACAGGGAGATGTTACTATGTCTGTATAAACAAGGTGATTTAACTCCTAAATGGCAGAGAAGTGAGCAGTGATACTGCAGGGGCATGATCAATACAGCAAAATGAATAATTATTTAATAAAGCTTCATTAAGTTCAAGTTGTATTGGTGCCTATAGTATCACTATGGATTTTTTGTTAGGGCTGATAAATCAAATTTCAGCCATGTTCACTAATCTCTACGAATATGGCAACCATGACTTTTGCGACTTGCATTATTAGAATCGGGATGCTGGTGGGAGGGTAGGTAGAGGGGGCAGACCAATGTGAGACCTTGTCAGTGGCTCAGCCAAAAGGGCAGACTTGTCCAGAAAGAGGATGGGTTAACCTACTTTACTGGCAAGTCAGTCTGGCATGAATACAAGGTTACCCCACTGAACCCTGCAGGCGCTCTATTTCCATGCTCTCTGCAGTGTAGTGCAAGTGCGTCACTGGAGGGATTATGTTGCTTAGAATGCCCTTATAAAGGGTGAGTCTACACACGATAGTAACAGGAGATGCCCAAATTTGGGATGTTACCACCAAATCTGGGACAGCTGGAAGTATGAACTAAATTAAGCCATACATTATATAGGAAGCTAACAATTGGTGCAAGTTTAAATTTATGGTGGGCGATCCAACAAGGTTATTAACTCACGTGGGTTTCATATTTAAGGCCAAAGTAGGCAAAATTCTCCTTGTTAGCTTTGTTTCCAGTTCAGCTACTTTAACCTTAAAATTTGAAATTCACTTTGTATTCCAACCTATTCTCACTTTAGTAAATAACCCTGTTAGTTGTTTTCTAGTTTCTACTCGAGTATAAATATTATAATAGTTTCCATAAGCTTACAGTATGTATTAATTATGACATCCAAATATATACCAATTTTTAACTGATGAGAGAAAATACTTAATTTTGTTTCACATACCTCCACGGTAGAGTTGTTTCCTGTTAGGGGGATGTGCGATGCAATTGACCATTGTTCTTTGTCCATAGTTTTAACCTGCTGAATAGTCGAGCTGTGTTTGCAAATAAACTGCATTTACTGATGTGCAAGTTCATTGCAATGAAACCTCAAGTCACGGCTCCCAAAAGACACTTTCCAGTCCAAATACTCCATCATAAAGTGGGTGTCCCGATTCTCGAATGGACTACAATGGAGCTCTGTATAAAGAAGTAGAAAACTCTTTATGGCACAGTATATTGTATTAAGGCATCAAAAATACATTTTCCCAGAACAATGAGGCATGTCATTATGAAGATTGAAATAACAGTTGTAGCACAATGTCAGTGGGCGACCTGTTGGAAGAGCTATCAGGCATATTTCTGGTCGTTTTCTGCACTGCCAAATTCAACATGTTAACTGGAATGATGCTTTACTATTATTCATTTGGTTTTTCCCCTTCCTTTTCATCCTACGCACTTGTGGCGATAATAAAGGCCAATATTATGAAAGAGCTTTTAAGTTTCGAGAAAGTTAAGAGAAAGCTGACATCCTGTGGTAATATGACAAAACAACCTTACACCTAACGGCTGAGTTCAGGAACAGTCTCACAGCACCAATAATGTGACTGTTATTTACCCTCACACCTTCATCTCTGATGTGAGGGAATAGGATAGACCCGAATTACACACTCTTTCTTGGTGGTTAAGAGGTCCACTAGCCCTTGTTTATTTTAATTTAAAAAAAAAAAATAATTAAAAAAATGACTATTTGCCCACAGGCTTCTTCCAGCAAGTACTAATAAATACATGGAAATAGCTCAAGAAATGTACAGGAATTAATTTCAGACACATTTAGGACAAACTGGACTGATTCAAATGGGTTAAAAATTTGCAGGTACTTTAATAAATTGCGCAGTGGAGAAAATCTATCTTTACATTCTACTTCAAAATGTTGGATATATACTAAATGTCAGTTTCTCAGTTTATCTTGGCAATTAATCCTGTGGGAGCTTGCTCGGCACTCATTAGCTATGTATTGCCATACAAATAGGACGGATAATCCAAATTGAAACTTCTGCATTACGTATGTGGCGTAAGAGGGACCCAGCTTTAGTAAAAAAAAAATAAATAAAAAAAAAACACATTCAAAAGGCTTTACAAAATATAGGGGGAATGTACCCAAAGATTCTTTACCACATAACCACTAAAATGAGCTCTAGTACTTCTGGTACCAAAAAACAGTAAGTGTCCAATTAAAAGAAAGATCAATTTATTTTATTTACAAACTTTCTAAACACATTTACTATAATTTAAAGTGACTAGGCACCATAACCAGCACAGTGCACATAACATTACTACATTGTGGTATTAATTAAAAGGGCCTTTGGCCACCATCCACTTGGCCAGCGTCACGACATTTTCAAGCAGTATGACACACAAAATAAAGTTACTTGACAGATAACTCTTTAACAATTTTAGGGCGTTCTATGCCATCCTACATAAAGTGGGCTATAATACCTGTAGTGCAGCATAGAACACCATGCATATTTGGTGTGTGCAGTGTTAACCTTAAGACCGCAGCCAAATGTACAAGTTGTGATCAAAATAAAACGTAATCAAAACCTGGCATTTGTGCTATATGTCTGTCCAACCGTAATTCACCTCTTTCATATTAAATGCACCCACACTTATTATATATCATTTTATTCAGGGGAAACGGGGCTTTCATTTAACATCAAATATTTAGGTATGGAACATAATTTAATATGAATAAAATATATTTTTAAAAATGGGAGAAAATAAGATGGTTTTTAAATTTTCTTAGTTCTACGTGACATTCTAACTGTGAATGTCATAATACTGTTTTCTTTTACTGCAATAAAATACACATATTTGTATTCAGCGATGTCTCACGTGTAAAACCATATCCCCTACGTACAGATTTTATGGTGTTTTGGGAAGTTACAGGGTCAAATATAGGGTGTCACATTTTTCAGTTTTTTCACATTGAAATTCGCCAGATTGGTTACGTTGCCTTTGAGACCATATGGTAGCCCAGGAATAAGAATTACCCCCATAATGGCATACCATTTGCAAAAGTAGACAACCCAAGGTATTGCAAATGGGGTATGTGCAGTCTTTTTTTAGTAGCCACTTGGTCACAAACACTGGCCAAAGTTAATGTTAATATTTGTTTGTGTGTGGAAAAACGCAAAAAAAAATTGGAACGCCAATTTTGGCCAGTGTTTGTGACTAAGTGGCTACTAAAAAAGACTGAACATACCCCATTTGCAATACCCTGGGTAATTTTTCATTCCTGGGCTACCGTACAGTCTCAAAGGCAACATAACCAACCTGGCGAATTAATTTGAAAAAACTGAAACGCAAGCCTTATATTTGACTCTGTAACTTTTGAAAACCCCATAAAACCTGTACATGAGGGGTACTGTTATACTCGGGAGACTTCGCTGAACACATATATTAGTGTTTCAAAACAGTAAAACGTATCACAACAATTATAGCGTCAGTGTAAGTGCCATTTGTGTGTGAAAAATGCAAAAAATTTCACTCTCACTGATGATATCGTCATGTATAACTGAATGTATGTGTATAAATGAAACAATATGACCATGTTACAGGTGTATGGACGCTGTTGGAGAAAGTCTCACTCTGCACCTAACTTCCTCCACTATAAATTAATGCTGCGCTCCTACACCATTTGTCTGGTTACAATTACGTGTCTGTTAGTCCACCCATTGTACAGCGCTACGGAATTTCCTGGCGCTATATAAATAATAATGGGGACAAGGTAAGAAAAGCATGTGCATATTTTTGCTTAGAAATGTAGCACTTATTAGCAATGTGCAATGGCACTAGACAGGGATGTCCGCTGTCCCTCCTACTATTTGCTCTGACTTTGGAGACTTATTTAAAAGCAATCGTGAATGTGTCTTGGATCAGACAGGGTATTTTGGAACACAAAGTAGCTGCATATGAGGAAGACATTCTGCAAATTTCACTTCTCTTGTCTGAATTCCATGGAAATTACAAACTCTATAATCTTAAGCTGAAGAAATCACATTTTACTTAATTCCATTGAATTGGACCTCAAACATTGGAACTACCCTGGCTCAGGAGTATCTCAGTCCTTAAGATGAACATTTTACCTAGAGCTCTGTACCTATTCCAGACAATCCCAATTAACTTACCTTCTTTAAATATTTGACATCCCAGTGATTTCCTACATATGGAGGGAAGAGGAACCTTGCCTGAAGCATGACATTCTTTGTCTGCCAAAAGCTAAGGACAACTAAGCCCTGCATGATTGATTTTTGTAAATATTTTTAAGTTGCTATTCTGCAGAGGATTTTGGAATGGCATGCTTTGATCTTAATAAAGCTTTAGCCTAAATTAGATCAAGCATGTTCTTGAAATCCACTCCCCTCCTTGTTTTGGAATGTTTCCTCCGCTGTCCCTAGGGATAGTCCTCACACTTTCCAAGTGGAGCAAACACTAAAAATGTGGTGGCAGCTTAGCAGAACTACACACTTCATCTCTGGGCCTTTTGTTGCCTTTGATGAACATTAGTCTTCTGTCTAGGGGGTTATTATCAATAAGTTTGGCCTTTGTAGGACCTGACAACTGTATCCCCGTTCGACAGATTCTAAACTACAATGACTTTAAGTCAGTTGGGGTGCTAATCCCTATGTCATATCTGGTGGTACTGCCCACTCCTTAGACCATTCGAACAGATGAGCAGGGATCCAATCCCTGAAATGTTTGAATCTCTATCTCTATGTGCGTTTGAAAACGTCCTGCTAAATGTTACTTCCATGCCCAAGCACAAGAAATCAGTTTTGCATCATTTATTTAAAGCAGCAAAGTCATCAGGCTCTAAGAAATGTGAGTGTGATACTAACTATTCATTTTATATTCTATTTTCCACATAATTTTATACTATTAGTTTGCCCTATGAGAGTTTGTATCCTTTTCATTTCCAGTGGCTCCTTTTAAACATATTTTAAACCTCTTATCACTTGGTGCACACACACAAGTGGTGTATATTACACAGTGTGACACATTCTGGAGTGTGTATATATATTCATATGTTCCTTGTTTTTGCGCTGTTCACTTCCTATTGTTTAAAGCAAAGTCATTGGTGCCTACACTCTGGAAATGCCTTGAAGATCCCACTAAGCAGCTGTGGATGTTAAACGGCACTGTCACACTGAACTTTTCTCCTAATGTTTACTCTTTTCTTACTCTATCAGAATGTAATTTTCTTCCTATCTGATCTAGTTTTCTTTAAAACATAAGACAAAGTAGGGACTACTTTTTCCTATGCTTGACTTTCTTTGACCCCAGGTCCTCCTTGGGTCAAAGAATGTCAGGCGTAGGAAAAATACACAAAACAAAGTAGTCCCTACTTTATATTATGTTTTAAAGAGAGCTAGATAGAAATACAGAAAAGAAGAACAGATTCTGAGAGAGGTAGAGAAGAGGAAGCGATTAGGAAAAGATAAGTTCGGGGTGATAGTGCCGCTTTAAGGGTGGAAAAAATAAGCCTTAAAAGTTTTTGGATAGCATCCCTATTAAATAGTGGTATTTTACAAACAGTATTTTCCGAACAGTGACACCCCTCGGAATACATTTATGTCCAGGAGTGATGCTTAGCCATTTGGCCCTGTAAACATCACTTTATTCCGTATCTTATTTGGGTGGGATGGGCAATTTAGTATCCGGGGGGGGACTAGGCCTGATGCTGTCTACTGATGGCCCTACCAACCAGGGTCACTCCTGCTGGGCCAGCAAAATATTAGCTTTCTCACTCTCAATTTATACCCCACCAAGTGGAAACTGCTTATCAGGGACATGCTGGTCTCATTGTGTGGGGGCACTTGTAGGAAAGTGTGTGTGAGCGGAGGCGCCGGCAAGTTTTGCCAACTCTTTTCTTTTTCCTTATTCCTCACATTAAATAGTAAATATTATATTGTTATTGTGTGATCTGCAACTAAGTTTAAAATCATTCTGACATTGTGATGAAGTACTTCTATATTTTTATGCTATGTATCTATCTTTCTGCTCATGAAACTGTAAATAAACAATTTCAATAAAGATTGTCAAAAGAATATTGGACAGTGAGTGGCAAAAGGTGTACAGGGGCAATAATAAAAGTAAGTGAATGTCTTGTACTTTTTTCCTTTAATTTAGTTTTCTGTTGAAAATGAAGCAAGCCTTTCTCTACAGTAGACGGCAAGAAATGGTTAGGTAAGAAGTTAAAGCACCACTAAAGTCACAAAAGCCACTTCACCTCAATGAAGGGGCCTGGGTGTTGTGGTCCTGTCATTTTAACCTTTCAAGGTAAACATTGCCACTTTGCAGAAACAGAAATATTTATTTTGAAGGGTATAAACACACCTCCAGAGCCAATGGACGCGCTTCTTGGACAATGAAAACGCAGTCACGTGACATTGCAGCCCCATAGGAAAGCATTAATTCAATTCTTTCATATAGTGAAATTTTCATGCAGCACTCTTGCCACTGGAAAAAGGTGAGTAAAAAAACTGGGTTTTTTTTATTTTTTATTAGTTTTATTGCAAACACAGGGGGTGGGAACTTCTATAACTTGGGAGAGGGACAATAAAAACATGTATTCCTAACACTTTAGTGTTCGCTTTAATAAAATAACTTCTCAACTGGCTCACTGTACACTCTGAAAAATTAGCAAACGCCATTTGAGGGACCTAAATATGGCAAAATACCATATAGGCTTATCCTTCTAGGGAGAGTCTTAATGAAGTAATTTTGAGACGTAAATGTTGCTCATGTAGCCTTGCAAGTGAAAACAGTATCATTTTTGAGAAATTCTTGTACAGTAGATGGCAATGCAAACATAATGTTTTAGCTCTCACAAGACTTTGTCAAGCCTTAAAAAAAGAGAGAGTCAAAACACTGTCGGGGCTATTCAATAAAGGAAGAATTGAAGGGGAATTTAACTGTTAAGGCCAAAGTAGGAAGCATAGGTGACTTGGAGAATGTTTCCAGTTCAGATAATTTTACCTTGAATTTGAAATTCATTTTGTGAATTACCCTGTGCATTCAAAAAATACCCAGTTTATTTTACTGTGTGTGCTCAGTCCCTTCAGCAGTACAAGTGCTGCTGGAAGTGTGCCAACTCTGAGCCATACGGCACCTGCATTCTATTATTGGTTTGATGACTGCGTTCTCTTATTTTGCTGTTTCTGGGAAATGGCACTGTTTACATTTAGCAATGTCCGCACATACTAGTGACTGCCAGACACAAGATGCTTTAGATTATTGAAGCAATTGTCATCCAACATCAGCATGCAAACTATGAGGACACAAGAAACTGGGTACATACAATGCTTGAGTGACTGATAAAAATCTGACAAAATCGCCACAATGCTTCTCTATAAAAGGTCATGGTAGGTGGAGCAGAATGCAGTGAAGAGCTTATCAGGGCACTAGATTACAGGTAAATGTACAATTTTATATTTTAAGGGATACAAAAGACTAATATCACAGGTGCCTCAGGAAACGTCAGTTTGTGACAAACCACTTAAAAATAGTTTGATACAGAAACAGGGGATAGTACCATAACTGTAACAGGTCGCAGCCGCACCCGATTGGTGTGGTCACACAGGAGCTGATAGGCAATTACCTAAGTCTTGGAGGATCACCGCCAGATCCGTCGTTGAGTCCTTCCCCAGCGCGTGCAGCGTTCTATGTACGCTGGCCGCTGCGATAATAGGCATATAATATGTGGCCCCGGGGTCACGCGGACGTGCATGTGCAGCCACGTCGTGGTTATCCGATAACACGTTCCTGTATTTGGTATTCTGGTTTTTGATATTGGCTTGTCCTGACTATTCTTACTTCTGGCTTCCTGACCCTTTGGCTTTTGACTTTCCGTTTTGCTCTTTGCTCCTGTCTGTACCCCTGACCTCAGCTAGTCTCTGGTTATTCTTTTTACATTAATTCCGGCTATTCATAGCCCGGAAATACATTTTTCCTTAGTTTATTATTTTACTGTGTTTTACTTAATTCTGCGTATTGGGCCACTGTACTGTCCTAACAATAACCATCAAATGGCTATATTAGTTATGGTGCAAAAAGTGGCCTTTTAAAAGGACACTATAGTCACCAGAACCACTACAGCTTATTGCTTATTCACGCCCGTTTTTCAATGTAAATACTGCATTTTCAGAGAGCTGTAAGAATACATAGGCATGATAAATACACCGAAACCGCTTCATTAAGCTAAAGTTGTTTTGGTGCCTATAGTATCCCTTTACAGACATATTACTGTGGACCTCTTTTATATACTCTCACAAACCAAAAATATGGTGCTCCTAGGAGAGGGACATTAGAGAGATATTAATAATTAGTAAGGATGTCCACATACTTCTGGCGATACAGTGTATATAGGATCCCAAGAACCTTCCTTTAATACCTGTTCAATATATTAGTGACATGGCTCCCTTGAACTTCATCTGCCAGGAGATGAAGTCAAGCATTGCAGTGTTGTGGATTTAGAGACACAGATATCTGCATGCATGGTGGAACCAAGGAATTCAACTAAACAGCCCTATTTAACCTTGCACAGCAGAGAGCCACAGGAGGAAGGATTTCCCAAGTACCGGTAAGTGGGTTAATCTCATATGAACAGGCATTAGGTTGTTATGATAGGACCAGCTAAACATTGTGGCAGGCTTATGCAATGTATGATCATATACTGTATCTAAACCATCACCACACAAGCAAAAAAAAAACCAAAGCTCACAAATCATAAATGAATATAGTTTAAATGTTTATGCTAGAGTGGGCCTAATATCTACAGCGAAATCTAATACATATAGCTGGATAGTATATACCACTTTAAATTTGTATTACAATGCACACCAAATTAAAACTAAAGAAAATAAAAAACATTCAGTGAAGAAACCAACCATCAAATATGAACATATTACATGGTCATAACTGGTATAATATACAGGGTGGGCCAAAATTCTGAGTTGGATTAGACAGGTAAATAACTTATTTGTCAATATTTAAATTTTTTTGTTGCAGGTACATATTATAAGTAAGCCTTGAGAGATTCATCATGGGTAATTTCACAATGGAACAACGAGTAAAAATAGTGGAATTTTATTTTTAAAATGACAACTGTTCAGTGAGCAGATATTTTCAAGGAAATTCACAGATTTGCCTGACCTTTCAGCTCCCAATTACATCCTGTGGGGATATCTGAAGGAGCGGGTATATGTAAACAAACCGCGTACACTTGAGAAGCTCCAGGAGAATATCCATGTACAAATTCGAGTGCTAGAACCTCAAACATTTACTATTGTTACGAAAAATGCAATTGAAAGAGACCGACTTTGTAAGGCGGCATATGGAACTCATTTACAAGATGTCACCTCGTCAAACAAATCTCCATACATTAAGTATTCGTTGTATGTAATATCATTGAAATTGGTTTGTTAATAAAAAAGTTATTGACTCCTCAAACTCTGAATTTTGGCCTACCCTGTGTATGGTTTGTCCATGTTAGATGAGTACTGTACGCATACACAAATATGTAAGTTGAATGTGTACCAATAAGTATGGAACAAGTTTCATGAGTAGTTTATTCACTAAACACTGGGAAATTTAGTTAAAATAAATAAAACCTGAGCTGTGGGATTATTCACTAAACTCTATATTCTAGCAAATGAAAATTACAATTACTAACTTTTAGACAACAACAGCTCTTTTGGAAGAAAAAAAAAAAAAAAAGACTGGTCTGGAATAGTCACTGCTTAGCTATTTTAAGTAAATATTGCCATTTTCATTCCAGTTCTCTACACTAAGAGGTTTACCACATAAACCTCTGACATGCCAACTGCCTACAATCAAATTCGTTATTCAAAATTTTAGGCCGAAATAACTAAACTGAAATATAGTTAAGAACTATTTTCCAGTGTAGCTGTTTTGGTCTAAAAGTTGAATTCAAGACAATTCACACTTTAGTGAATATCCCCTGTGGTGCTTTCCAAATCAGCATTTAAAAAACAACCTGCAATTCAGTGAATAAACCCTCAGCTATGCATATAAAGCACACAAAAAAAAAAGTTCTGGAGACCTTAAAAGATCCTACGTTACTCCACATTCCTATAGATTAATTTGAACCAGGCTCTCCTCCCCTTCCTAGAAGGGGGGCAGCATACTTGCTCTATGAAGTGTCCAGACCTAGAAAAAGAACCCATTATCCCAGCATGAAAACAAGCCACATACATGCAAAAAAAAAAATTTAAAATCCGCAAACATATACTGTACATGTATAGAAACGTATACATCATAAGTAGCTCAGCCTGGGCATAGAAGGTACAACGTATAGAGACATTAAAACTAGCTTATTCTTCCTCGCATTCCATTTAGAATCATGTAAAACCACCCTTCACCTTCTTTACAAAGTAAGAATCTTTGTGGAGGGTGTTGGATACTTGCCAAGTGCACGGTTTTTGTTCAGGCAGTCCTGCTCTTGGAGCTGTACTCGCGATGTGTCGGTGTTCCGGCGCTTGTCCCCTTGCAGCAGGGGGTAGCAGCAAGTCCCCATCCAGTGAAAGGATTTGTGAGTACATCAGCAGGTCACGTGACTGCGGGCCGGTCACGTGGTCACAGGGGAGCTGCAGGGAATGCAGGCAGGAAAGTCTATTGAATGGCATTAGCTGTAGGGTGTCTGGGCTATTGAGCTGTCCCATGCCTGGGTTCTGTTAGTGGGCAAAGGGAAGGGGGTTGTGTGCATTTTATAATTTATTATTCAAAGCTACAGGGTAAGTTACAGATCTGCAGCAACTCCCCTCCCCCCCCTATAATGAGCAAGCCTACATTTTATAAACTACATTATGCATGGATGAATTAAATTATATATACTTGGCATGAAATGGACTTTGGGTTGATGAATTGGTAATTAGTGGTTTGAACAAGTACTTCAACAAAGGTGTTTAAACAGGCAGTGATGGCTGTTTTTGAAATACAATTCTAGATATTCAGCTAGCCATTTTCGATATCTGTTCATGTGGAGAAATGTATCTCAGGAATTGTTGATTTCCAAGGATGGTAAGCACTGATGTATATATTTGCCTGTCCTGGTGCATATATGTTTTTCACAGTTTTCTGCCCTGGTTTGCAAGTATTACCTTGAGATTAATTCACTAAACTATGAATTATATGAAACTGAAATCTGTATGGCAATTTGGCAACATTTCAGGGTTACTCGAAGCACCACGACTACTTCAGTGATTTGAACTGGTCATGGTGCCTGGATTCTGCATGTGCAGTGTTTCTCTATAAAAGGTTGCATATTCTGATTTTAACCACTCTGCTGCCAGATGGGTACTGACTAGGCAGCATCTCCCAAGGTTCTGTCCTTGGTCCCCTTCTGTTTACTCCTGCCAATCTTATTACCTCATTTGGATTTTACTACCACCTGTACGCAGATGACACCCAGATTTATCTCTTCTCCATGGACCTCTCCCCTGCCATCCTGCAATGTGTCACTGCTTGCCTTTCTTCCATCTCTGTATAAAACGGAACCAGCGCTTATGTGTTTAAATAGTAATATACCACTTTGTGGATAGGTCTAGTTAGCTGCTGAACGTTCAAGTGATTCCTTACAAGATCACAAATACAAGAAAAAAATAAAATAAGAATGTAGCGCTTATGCAAAGTACGAAATACGTATTATTATTATTACGATGATATTTATAGAGCGCCGTCAAATTCCGCAGCGCTTTACAATGGGTGGACGAACAGACATGTAGTTGTAACCAGAAAAGTTGGACACACAGGAACAGAGAGGTTGAGGGCCCTGCTCAATGAGCTTACATGCTAGAGGGAGTGGAGTAAAATGACACAAAAAGGTAAGGATAGTATTAGACTAATGACAGTTGCAGAAGAGGAATCAGTCAGGAGCTATTAACAGTTTAATTGATACGCTTTTATGAAGAAGTGGGTTTTTAACGATTTTTTGAAGGAGTGGAGACTGGGTGAGCATCTAACGGAGGAGGGAAGCGAGTTCCACAGGAACGGTGCAGCCCTCGAGAAATCTTGAAGGCGAGCATCAGAGGTGGGAGTACGGACAGAAGATAGACGTAAGTCTTCAGCAGATCGTAAGGGCCTAGACGGGACATACTTGTGTATAAGAGAGGATAGATAGATGGGAGCAGCATTATGTAGAGATTTGAAAGCAAGAACCAGAATTTTAAATTGAGCTCTATATTTTAAAGGAAGCCAATGTAGGGACTGACAGAAGTGTGAGGCATGGGAGGTGCGGGCGGACAGGAAGATGAGCCTCGCCGCCGCATTCATTATGGACTGTAACGGCGCAAGTTAGGAGCACGTAAGACCACTGAGAAGCAGATTACAGTAGTCAAGGCGAGAAAGGACAGTGGAATGGACCAACACCTTAGTCACATCTGGCGTTAAGTTGGGGCGGATGCGCGCAATGTTTTTGAGATGTAAATGACAGGATTTGGCGATAGATTGAACATGAGGCTTAAAGGAGAGGTCGGAGTCAAAGAGAACACCTAGGCAGCGAGCCTGCGTGGTGGAGCTGATGGTAGCACCGTTGACTTGGAGAGAGACAGACACAGGAGTAACAACACTTGAGGGAGGAAAGACCAGAATTTCAGTTTTGGTCAAGTTTAGTTTAAGGAAGTGGGCAGCCATCCAGTTAGAGACAGCAGAGAGGCAGTCAGAGACACTATTTAAGAGGAACGGGGAGAGATCAGGAGAGGACAAGTAGATTTGCGTGTCATCTGCATAGAAATGATATTGGAAGCCAAAGGAGCTAATAAGTTTACCAAGGGAGGCAGCATAGATGGAGAACAGTAGGGGACCAAGGACTGAACCTTGGGGGACACCAACAGAGAGGAGTTGGGGAGAAGAAGCAGAGCCAGAAAAGGAAACACTGAAAGAGTGCTGGGAGAGGTAGGAGGAGCACCAGGAGAGAGCAATATCTTGTAGACCGATATTGCGGAGGATGAAAAGAAGCTGTTGATGATCAACAGTGTCAAAAGCCGCAGACAGATCAAGGAGAATTAGGATAGAGTAGTGACCACGAGATTTTGCATCAAGTAGATCATTGTATACTTTTTCAGTGCCGTTTCCACAGAGTTAGCGCGGAAACTAGACTGAAGTGGGTCTAGCAGAGAGTTGGACTCGAGGAAGTCTGTCAATCTCGCATACACAATTTTTTGAAGGAACTTGGATGCAAAAGGCAGTAGCGAGATAGGACGATAGTTGGATGGGGAGTTAGGGTCCAGATTGGGCTTCTTTAGAATTGGGGTTACAGTTGCATGTTTGAAGGACAATGGAAATATACCAGAGGAGAGAGAGAGATTGAGAATTTTAGTGAGAGGTGGAGTAAGAGAAGAAGACAGAGTACGGATGAGATGCGAGGGAATTGGATCTAGGGAGCAGGTGGTGGGGCGGGAGGACTGGAGCAGAGCAGAAACCTCTTCCAATGTAGCGGGTGCAAATGAACATAGAACAGCGGAGGGAGTGAAGTTAGGGGAAGTAGAAAGATGAGAGATCTCTTCTCTGATTGTAGAGATCTTGTCAGTGAAGTGAGTTGCAAAGTCTGAGGCGGTCAAGTTAGTAGGTGGAGGAGGAACAGCAGGGTGAAAGAGTTAAATGTGTGAAATAGTTGTTTGGGTTCGCAGGAGAGTGTGGTTATGAGGGTATTGAAGTAATTAACTTTTGCAGAGGAAAGAGCCAAGCTGTATGAGCTCAGCATAAATTTATAGTGGAGAAAGTCAGATGCACAGTGAGACTTTCTCCAACAGCGTTCAGCAGTTCTGGAGCATTTTTGGAGGTATCGAGTGAGTTTGGTGTGCCAGGGTTGTTGTTGGGGGGCCTGCGGCGTTTAAATGCACAAGGTGCCATGATGTCTAGTTGAGTGGAGAGGGTGGAATTGTAGAAGGAGGTTGCAGAACTAGGACAGGTGAGGTTTGAGATAGGTAAAAGGAGAGTTTGGAGATTAGTGGAGAAATGCTCTAGGTCAACACATTGGAGGTTTCTGTGAGAGTGATGTTCAGACGGTGGTGTCAATTGGGTTTTAGGTATGCCAATGTCAAAAGTCAGCAGATGCTGGTCAGATAGAGGAAAAGGAATATTGGAGAGATTAGAGGCAGTACAGAGGTTGGTGAAGGCAAGATCGAGAGTGTTTCCTGCTGTATGGGTTGCTAAATTGGACCATTGCATAAGGCCAAAGGAGGAGGTTACAGAGAGCAGACGAGAGGCATCAGTGCAATTGGGGTTATTGATTGGGATATTGAAATCCCCAAGTATAAGGGAAGGAGTGCTAGATGAGAGGAAGTGGGGAAGCCAGGAAGAAAAGTGCTCAATGAATAGTCTAGAATAACCGGGGGGGGCGGTAGATGATAGCAATTCTTAAAGGAGTGGGCTTGCTCACTGAAGGAATGGGCTTGTAAAGTTGGGGAATAAGGCTGTTGAATAACGAGATGTATTAATCACCTTTTTAGCTGTTTGGAGAAGATTCACTCTAACAAGCCAAACATATAGATGCCTGTAAAAAACAATCAGACAGTGTAGATCATACATGATAAAATAAATATATATTAATTCCAGTATATATACACACTCACAAACGAAGAGCTATAGACCCAGCTGTGGTTTGAATCGTTTCTGGGTCCGTACAGGCGACCCCCCCCCCCCCTATTTCCAATATGGATCTTGTTCTATAGGGAAAAATAGAGGCACAACCAATTGCGCAGTATTGCTGGAAAATATTCTAAGATTGAAATAAAAAATCCCAAATGGGTACTCACAAGTATGGAGTCATATAGTAATGACTCTCTAAAACTGAGCTCCTTGTCTTTCCTCCTACTAATACTGATCCTCCTCTCTCTCTCTCCCTTCAAGTTGGTGATATACACATCAGCCCATCCTTGCAAGCTCGCTGTCTTGGTGTTATATTTTATACTTAGCCTCACCTTTGAGGTTCACGTCCAGTCTGTTACCAATTCCTGTCGATTCCACCTTAAAAACATTGCCCAAGTCAGTCGCTTTCTTACGTAAGATACCAGGGGCGGGCTGGGAAGGGGGACAGGGAGGCAATTGCCCCCCAGGCCGCCCTAAACCCAGGGCCGCCCAGATCCAGCAAAAAAAGGAAAAATCCGAATCCCCTGCTATTGGCTCCGGCCCTGCCTCTGGCTGAGGACTCAGATTTTTCAACTTACCTCACTCTCCCTGCAGCTAGTGCAGTGGGCCGGCCTCTCCTGATGATGTCAGGAGGAGGGGGCATGACTTCCACTGCCCTTTTTACAGGACCGCTGGGGAGACTGGGAGAAGAGCAGAGGAAGTCACGCCCCCTCCTCCTGACATCATCAGGAGAGGCCGACTTCTCTGCTGTATTCTGCCCACCCCTCCCTGGCCAAAGGTAAGACTCAGGGAGGGGGGAAATACACTTTAGTTTTTTTTTTCATTCCCCCCCTCAGCCAGCCCCTGTCCCCCCCTCAGCCCTCTCCCCTTAGTCAGCCCCTGCCCCTCTTAGCCCTCTCCC